TAAGAGGAAAGGCAAAATACAGTCTGCTTTTGTAGTCACTACATATTCAATTTTATAATCCAATAAAGAAATTATGATACTTACTGAAACAGATCCATACATTACAAGAACGTCCATTTCATCTAAGTCATTTTTTGGTTTTTCATTTTCCAAAAGGCTTTAAATGTAGTAATGACTTAAAGAAAAAAATAAACTTAGTCAATATTTCATTCAATCGTCAAGATGGAAAGAAAAATTTTAAAAACAGAATTACGTGAAAGGTGTTCTTTATAAATAAGTTGGATAAAAGCTTATTTTAATGGATTTATTTAGCTTATATTTTCGTATCATGGATTTATTTATTATCATTAGCACGTTAGCTTCGGTTACGGTCCCCGGGTTCCAATGTTCATCTCGACTTCCAAGTGGTCGGGATTGTTTCGAATTTCAACTATTTTACGAAGTCTCTAAAATGGTCATTTTTAAAAATATTTGAATGTGAGTTGGATGCATGTAAAGATACAAACGTAAATAATCATCAAATATGATATAAAGCTGTAGGACGCCGGCGATAAAAAATAATTTCCCTAAGGCATCATCCTCCGGCGTCCGATATTCCTTCCGTGAGGGGACATTGTACATGCATGTTGATTGAGATAATGTTTGGAACGTCGGTGGTCAATTCTTGGATCACCTTTAACATAATAAAAGAAAACCCTTATCAATTACAAACAACCCTTATTAATTACATTTAATCGAACTTCAAGAATCAGTTGAACACCATTTCATATAGATAGTTAATTTTTTTCTTCTTTTTTTTTCAAATTACTTATTGTTGTATATATGAAAAAAAATCTTTCGGGCTGAAGCTCCCCCCCCCCCCAAAAAAAATTAAGTCCTGGATCCGCTAGTGCCGTCCACCGTCACCATATCTGGTTTGTCTTTGTCTTATCCATTATTTTATTAAGCTTTCAGGTGAGTTTTTTACATCCACTAAATATTTTTATATTTCGCTTCTTCTTTCACGTAAGTAAAATGAAATAGGTAGATTTTAAATAGTTTTTTCAAACTTAAAAAATAACTTAAATGTTTACATTTAGTAGGTAAATTTTATTTAATTTCCTTGAAAACGTGTGATTTCCGTTAAGATGATATTAGTTTTTCACAAATGATAATTTATAATTTTTTGTCACTCTCCATTACATTCTACGACTTTCTATATTAGCTATTATTTTTCCTAGAATTCTTCACTCTCCAACGATATATTATACGTATACTTTCTGACTATTATTTCTGGAGATTCATTTTCGACCAGAATAAGCATTTTTCTCCGTTATCCAATAATCAAATTCTTTCAAAACTTATAATTATCTTTTTTTTCACAACTAAAATGGAACTTATATTTAGCCTTTTTTTATGACTCCTAAAATGGAGAGATAGTTAATTATTTCAAATTAAAAAAATAAAGGCACTTTAGCGGAAGTTAACATTAAAAAATAGGCATTTAAGCTCTGTTAGAGTACATCAATAAGAATAAAATCTACATTATATTTAAAACTGCTTAATATTGCACTGGTATACTTAGGTTAATCAAAATCGTTAGAGCCCTTTTCGAGAAAATCGTAAAAATGTTTTACAACGATGACATAAAGTACCACTTCCGGTTAGCCAATTTTGACAAAAAAAGTGTCTGTAATATCTGAGGTATATACAAACCTTAAATATCCAATTTCACTTTCGTACGACTTTTCGTTTCGTTCGTATAGGACTCAGTGGACCTCAAAACATGTATTTACGTTGAAAACTCAGATATGAAAATGTTCACGATTGCAATACTTTCCCTTACTATACATCATATATATAGGTAAGTGAAAGTAAAAAAAGCAGATGACGACCGTTTTGGATTTTATTATTATACAAGGATTTTAGAAATTTCGGTGAGTTCCACGGGCGGATCTAGGGGGGGGGAGCTTTCGGGCTGAAGTCTCCCCCCTCCCCCCAAATGGGAAAATATAACCATGTTTTATCGAAAAAAATGTTAAAAAATTATCTCTTAAAGTATCATTGTTCATGTAATTACATTTAAAAGGACTTTAGGAATTTAAACACCATTTCATATAGGTAGTTAGTTTCTTTCTTGTTTTCCAAAGTAATTATCGTTATTTTTATATATATAAAAAAAAAAAGCTTTCGGGCTGAAGCCCCCCCAAAATTAAATCCTGGATCCGCTAGTGGTGGGCTCCTAGGCTAATATTCATTACGATACCTTGAGGTACCTTTACACCAAATTTGCTGCTTTTATTCGCTATGTAACGGTAATTCCGTTAAGCCACTTGACAACTATTCCTTTTCTCTGTTTTACATTTTATTCTATAATTATCTCACTTAGACATCACTAGCGGATCCAAGATTTAATTTTGGGGAGGGGCTTCAGCCCGAAAGGTTTTTTTTTCATATATATAATTTGAAAAAAAAGAAAGAAAAAAGAAATGAACTACCTATATGAAATGGTGTTTAAGTGATTCTTGAAGTCCTATTAAATGTAATTACACAAACAATAATACTTTAAGAGATAGTTTTTAATATTTTTTTCTATAAAACATGGTTATATTTTACCGTTTTGAGGGGGGCTTCAGCCCGAAAGTCCTCCCCCTCCGTAAATTCGCCTGTGTAAGACATCATATTTCAGCAAATACGTCACCCCATCTATTTTATGTCTACACTTACGTTTTTCATCTCATATATTTCGTTGTTAATTCAATTTTGTTACCTTGTTTCATTATGTTTATTTCATTAGTCCCAAATTTGTTGCCGTTATTATTTATTTTATAGTTCTCTGTTACTATTATTATTTCATTCATAATTTCTTAACTTTGTTACCGTTATGTTATATATCCTAACTTTGCTTCCGATACTTTTTATCCCTAATTTTGTTATCGCTATTTTATATATCTCTAAGTTTATTCTACCTACATTTTTTAGACTATACCTTTCACCTATATATTATTATTTTCTTTTTAATTTTAATAGTTTCTTATACCGATTGCTATCTCTTTTTTTTCTTGTTTTTGGCGAAGGACTGAACTTTGGGCCGAAATGTCGGCAAAAATAAAAATAAATATAATTTATTTATTTTTAAATTTTTTTGACTGAACACCTCAACCAATCTTCTCTTCAATTATTCACTACAGTGAACCATCAATCCACAATTGCATACATTTAAATTTGCTTGGGAGGTTCGCGCTGGTCAAGGAGATTAAGACATGCAAAAATTCAATCGCTTGCAAACTCAAAAGCGGTTTCGGTACTGCGATAAGATAGGCAATTAATCGAAGGTCGAGTGACCATCTCCCTATGTGTTTCTGTGTTCTGCAAGCAATGCATGTCTTCAAGAAGACCACATCACATTTAATATATTAATACTAAAACAAATGAATAAGTAATATATTAAGTGTGAGAAATGGCAGAACTACTGCGAATTATTATTCCAATCGCCGTACTGATACACGTCGTGGTCACCAATTTATTGGGTTGTTAGATAAAATCTTTAAGTTTTAAACAAAGCAACACTTTTTAATAAAATGGTAAAATATTTCCTTTTGTGATTTCATTACAAATATATGATATTTATTTCTAATCGATTATGTAACAATTACTGTTACTTATCAAACTAATAATTAGTAATAAATTTATTCGGAGATAAATCCCCAGTTCTTAAAGTAATGCTTTATCATCTTATTAATACCATAAATACTTATATTTTATATTCAAAATATTACAAGAAACAATCATTTTGTAGAATGTAGGAATTGAAATATAGATAATCGTTAACATTTCATAGTATAGACGTAACCTAATCTTGCTTTTCAACTTTAACAACCAAAAAAATGGCATCTATTAATTAAATAAGATCGAAACTCCATCAAATCTGTTGTTATCCTTCCGATACAAATAAAACCATTAAATTAAAGGCTAACATTTTTATTTAAAGTTAAATCAAACAAGAACTTGGACTAACATAATAAGAAAATGAGGCTGAGATTTGGCCGCGACGGTGAGCAGTTTCAGCGAAATAGACGAGCATGTAACGGTTGGCAGCGTGCAATAGCGGTCGCTGCCATGGGCAAGGCCGGCACTGGATTAACTATCAATTGAGTGGAGGTTTCTAACTGAAAACCAAACATTTTCTATTAATTTCAATTAATTTTCTGACAATAACGTTGTTACATTGTATATCTATTAAGTGTTGATAAGCATTGACCTTGAAAGGAAACATATACGTGCTTGAGGTATGTGAGTACAGTTGAGCAGGGTTGTTCCAAGGCATTTCATTACTTGCAGTTCATGAACATTATATTTAATGGAGTGATTATCAATACATATCTATCTCTCCTCCCTTGATGGGTGAGGTTTGTTAACAAACTAGAGCCAGTTCACGCCAATAGACGTAATAATTAATTATGTACCAACACAAATAATGTATGCTGTTAAGGAATCGTGACCTTCTTTGTTAAAAATACAAACAACATACACTATGGATTATGAAGAAACCATTACATACCAATGTACCTTTCCAACCTCTTGGCACATCTGTAAGTGTAAGAGATAAACTGAAAATTTTAAAATAATTGTTTCTATATGTACTGTCGCCTAGTTAACTAACTTAAAAGTAAGACGTGCGTATTCTTCAGGGACTTAACAAAAATATAAAGGAACATATGCTTGGCTAAAAGTAATTTTAAAAACAACAGTACTTCTGGACAAAAAGCATAGATAGACTAAAAAATGACATGGCACTAGTTATTTTTATTTAAATCTGTTTATTAATCAAATAGATGAGACCGGCACAACTTAAAATGTAACTTTTATCAGACTGGTATGTTTATATATACATATTGGTATATTACTGATTTAGAAAAAAACTCAAATGTGAACGATGTACATATTAATTCTTGATTTTAATCCTAAACTAGCCTCATTGTAAAACAAGACAGTTTTAAAACGGAAACCTACAGGTTTGTTTATTTGACATTCTCTGACCCTAGTTGTGAATCTCTTAAAGCAGGTGCCTCAAAACTATGGCCCATGGGGAAGAACAGGCCTACCAAAGTTTCTTTGATTAGATGGTAAAATTTTAAAAACTATTTAAAACTGATACACAAAGTAACTAAAACATTTATTGCATGAGATTTTTCTTTTATAAAGCCCATTTCACAACAAAAGTGTCATTTATATTTCAAGATTTTTTTTTCATCCCCCCATATATATATATAGATCCCAAGATACAAGCCCCCAGGACTTAGTGGAAGTATCAATGAGGTCCCTAGGACTTACTGAAGGCCTCAAAGTGGCCTTGTTACAAAAAAAAAAAATTAATACATGCTTACATTTAATAGCTGTGTATGCATAGTGGTTTATAAAGAATACACTTTATGATTCTTTATTTACATAAGATTGTTCACAGAAGCAAATATGGACCAATGGGAAAAAAATATATATACATTTTTCCATTTTGGATGAGGGCTTCGGCCTGAAAGTGGCCTCTACTCTCTTCACTACAATAATCCTCAGATCTCTTAGTATTTTATAGATCCAACAGATTTATTTATTGCAAAATTTTCTGACTTCTTTATTCTATACAGAAACATATGCTGCTTACACAAATTAGTCAACACCAATCAACCAACTCACATCCTGACAAAATTGATTTTGTTCTCTACGATTAAAAAATAAAAATCTTAACTGTAAGGTTACCAATATTCACTGCTTTTTTGATTTCAAATTAATTGACTTTTCTATTATTAATAACTATTTTTATTATTTCCTCATTTGTTTTCAGGTTATTGGAGAAGAAAGGGGAGACATTAGTCTTTACATAATTCCTCTTATTTTTCATTAAACTGTCATCATGACCTTTTTTCTTATTTCAACCCGATGGGGTGAAATTTGAAACAAATTTTTGATAGATCATACTTAGCTATTTGTTAACTTTTTGATAACTCTTATGACAAGCATTGAAATGAAAAGGACATATATGCTCCAAAACTTGAAATTGGAAAATCCGGAGTTAAAATCATAATTTTTTGCTGGAAAGATATATGGTTGTAGATATCACTTATTTTTTAATAATCGTAATTTTGGATTATATAATCTTAAATTAAGAAAAACCAAGAACTTCCATCACAATTGTTTATTTAAAAAATGTCTTCTGTAATTATCAAGAATAGAAGGTATATTAGAATAGAGGTGTATAATTTAACAAGCTCAGTTTCTTCTTAATATAAAAAAGTAATATAGTTACAAATATTTGAATAGTGAAATAGTTATGATGATAAATCAACAACTCATTAAAATTGTATTACAAATGTACAAAAATATTTTTAAGAAATAGTTTTTTGGATATATAAATGTTACATAAAACAAAATTAGTTTACATTCTACTTTTCTTCATTACATAATATTTCTCCTCCAAATATCCACAGATCAACATTAATAAAAATAGTGCTTAAATTTCTTTTTTTTTTTTTTTTTTTTTTATTATTTCTAGTTTTATGGATGCTCTGTCACCCTTTTCAGCTTACAATACGTCCCATTATTTCTAGGTAAAGTTTGGTCAGTAAGTCAACGATTGGTCAATTGGTCAGTATTAGTAAGTCAACGATATTTAGTTGGATTTACCTAGAAATATTGGATCATATTGTATGCTGGAGAGAGACAAATCTACAAATAATAATACCCAAAACCTACAAATAATAAAAAAAAAAATTTGTCTTAATTTTGACCTGTGGGCAAAATGGGAGTGGAAAAAAAGTGCCACTGTTTACAAATTTGAAAAATGGATCACAAAGATATTAAACTAGAAGCAACTATTTAATTTTATCAATTTGCGATAGGGTTTGCATGGATTGTTACACTATTAATTTTCTTATCTACAAGCGGTCGGAAAGTTTTTGGATTAACTTGTAGTTTTTCTAATTCATCCAGGACTTCAAAACCATCTATTATCCTAAGAAAAAAAATATTTGTATATGCACAGTAATTAAACAAAAAAACCTTATAAATATAGATATGTTTATCAAGAAGTGAGAACTATATACAAAATACTTGTTTGTTTCTTTAAATTATAAGGTGAATAAAGACAGATAAATTATAAAATTCACAATTTACAATGCTGAAATGCATAACGATTATGAATTTAAACTTCAAGAAGTCACCAATATTACTACGGATTATTTCTATCCCAGGATACTTCTCTTTGATATGTTTTTAGCACTTTGGTTATGTTTTCATTGTCAGGTGTATCAGGTGCTTATTAAAATAATTATTTCCATCCGTCATATAACTCTTTCATGTTTATTTTAATGAAAAAACTAGCAAATCATATTAAACTTCAATTCTTATAAATTCGAAATTAATTTTAAAATGTATTTCGAACATTATTTCATGGGACATAGGCAAACTTTCAAAAGATTCACCATTACATTCCTTTGCTCCATACTATGCTTTTTAATTTGTCCACACCAAATCACGTAATGAGTTGAGTATCAATATGCATTTTTTTCCATCATTCTAAAGAAGTCTATGCCCAAAATCTACGTAAATCATAAAGTCAAAATATTTTTGTTCCATTTCATCACTACTTGCTCACACAAATCCTATTTTTTTTTATCCTTTTTCTTTTATTATGTAGCCAAAATGCTAACTTCCTAAAATTATTTTTATTTTCATTTGCAATATATAACCAGATCACTAGTTACTATATTGGTGTTTTCATTCATTTTTGTCTTTTTATTCATCCTTCTTATTAGCTTTTCATCTATGACTTTTTTGTTTGAAAACTTGAAGAAGACAAGTTGAAATTACTGTTTCATCAACTTACTAAAAAATAAAAATTGTAGATATTTAAGGAACTGGATTCCTAAAATGTGACATTTCCCTACTTGCTATTCTGTTAGAGCACAATTAGACTAGACTTGATTGAAAGTAAACTATAAAAAATAAATTTTAGGATTACCAGATAGAAAATAAAATAGGTTACAAATAAATTGATTCATACTTTCCAAAAATAGTGTATTTTAGGTCCAAGTGGGGCTGTGCTGCATAAGTGAAGAAAAATTGACTTCCATTAGTATTTGGGCCATTATTTGCCATTGACAACATACCTCTTGTGGAATGCTAAAAATTAATTCAGAATCATACAAAGGAAACTTTCTAAGGAACTATAAATTATTTATTTTTTAAATTAATTGTTTGATAAATAAACAAACAAAAGTTAAAAAAAAAATAGATTATAAGGGTCCCTATAGCATATAACACAGGTGGGGAACGGCAGATAGCTCACAGAGGCCAATACTATATTATATAATAGTATAATATAAAATTTTAATTATTTAGTTTATGAAAAAATGTTTTTTTTTTTAATGATAATGATGTTAGTTGTTTTTTTTTTTAATGATACATTGATATTTTCATCAACATTACCTGTTATTCATGGCCTGGGGACATAGTGAAGGGGGCAGTGTGCACTGTAGGACAAAATGCTTGGATACACCTATATTAGTTTATTGAAAATTGGCTAAGCTATTCTCTTAACGATAAACTATGAAGGAACTGAATAACAAATTTTAACTACTATGAAAGTTAAAATAGAATCCAAAAAACCTCTATCTGCCTTCTGTGATTTTATTCTGAGACTACTAATCACATCCTTATTATTATTTTTTTTAACAGCATCAAATTCATAGATGACTCCAGGATTAACTTTGAAACCTGACATTAACATCTGCCAATGAGAGATTTCATAAACCATATATCAATGATTTATTAAGAAATGAGAAACTTAAAATATTTCGGAATCAATAAACAATAGCAAAATAACATTAAATTCCAACCATTTCATCATATTATTTAGGCTTGGTATAATAATTCCAAGAGTTTTATGTTTTTGATGGTTATGTATTTTGGAATAACCATTGTGTATTTTTTGTGGCATTTTAACATTAACAATAAGAAACATATTACCTTAAGATTTTCTTTGAATTCATCTTTGAATTTCTTCCCCCATATTGAGTTACCACCTTTCCCAGCATTTGTAGGATCTCCAGTTTGTACGATGAATCCTTTTATGTTTCGATGAAAAATACATCCATTGTAATAATCACTAGCACATAAGGCTAGGAAGTTCTAAAAATAAAAGTACACAATATGAAGTAGTTCTCAGAATAATAATATATTACTTGAATAAATAGATAAGGTATATTTTTTCCATAGTTTATAATTGACAATTATCATAAAAAGATGAAAAATATTTAATTTTAGCTTTAATAATTCAGTAATTAAAGTTAACTGTTATATTTTAACACTACTAGATCACAAAATTTCTGTTTTCTCAGCAGTTGTATTCAAAATGTTTTTGGTGCTTTGAGATCCTTCTGGAGGGGCACTCAGTCTCTAAAAAGTGGATAACTGATCTATAAATGTGTTTTCTTAGCCCTGAACTATGGGCCGAATGCAAATATAATTATTTATTTTTATTTTTTGTGATCTTTCAAGAAATTATATTTTTCATTATTATTACTATCTACCATTATCTTTATAAGTCGAAAGAAATAGCGTAACATAAATAAATTATATTGCTGTTATTTGAAAAAACTATCATACATTAGCTGATCATGAAGACCCACTAACAACTTAAGGCTAATCTCATATATACAGAAAACAAATAATTACAATAAAATTTTCAAAAAAAAGAAAATGGAAAATAAAATAAGTGGTTTTTGTGGAATCAAGGAGTGTCTACTTTATAGAAGCTAGTTACGGTCCAAGAGGATCTCCCAATCTCAGGGTCGATCAACGGCTGATATAACAATAAATTTTGCTTCAGGAGATAATTAAATTGACAAATAGGAGCATTGTGCCTTACTCCCCGAGCTGCTCCACTCTTTTGCGACTGGTAACAGCATGTAGAATTGATATTATTTATTTTTACAGTGAATTTCTTACAAATGTTTATATCTTATTGTTTAGTAATGAATCAATTAGTAAAACGTAAGTTTATTAAGATGTCCAAGGAACTAGGAATTATTTTTTCTTAAACTAAGATAGCAATTAGTATTCAAAATAAAAACATTTTGATATAGAATTCATTTGAATTGAACATTATTTTTAATTTTTCTGAATTAAAAATTCCATTGGCCAATTAATGTTAATATCAATAACAAATAAATTTATATCTGTGTATAAATATCCTAAAGGATGTCAACTAATAATATTGGTTTATGTTTATTTAACAAATCATACTGAAAGTTGTGTACATGTGTATATATATTATATAAACAAATTTAATTATGATTAAACATTCTTATATCTTTTACCTCACAAGTTTTTGGACAAGCTTCACAAAATAATTCAATTTTCATATCACCAACATCCGTGTGCAATGTGAGAGCCTAGAGGGTAAAAAAAAATAATAAGTAAACAATTGTTTGGTACGATTTTATTAATTGTGGTGAGGTTTCAGATTACTTAACCATTTGATACACAAACCGTTGTCATAACAAACTTAAACAATAAATGTTTAACCTTCTGGTGGTAAGGTTATATTTATGAAAAAGGTTATGTTTACAATATCAGTAAAGCATTGGTATTTTAATTTTCGAGATGGTGTTTTTGAATTCTCTACATTTTATTTTTCTTTAAAACCATCTCTAAAAATCATCAATAATTAATGTAACGATATTAATTTTTTATTTTCTTAAATCTAGTTTCTGTGTCAGAGTATACCCCTTTGGGTGGAAATCATGACCTCAACATATTTCAGTTAACAGAATAATACCATAAAAATAAAACGACACTTTACACTTTTAAAATTGTAATTATGATTAAAGGCGCCTTTCTATCAAATTTTTTAGTTGAAATTCTTGTATGGGTACTAAATGACGTCATGTATTGATCGAGAAGTGGGAGGAAGAAGAAATGAACGAAACCCGTTGTATCGCCATCTTGTGATAGGTGGTCATTAAGTATCTAGAAGTTAAATTAAAATCTCAAGTCATCCGTCCTGCCATAAGTTGAGGAAGAGAATACTTCTTCTTTTTATTGATTACCCAATCGAACGGACCAAAGTAAGTTTTGATTTACATTTACCTAATGTTACTGTGTTTAGATTTGAGCTCCCTCTGTTAGGTTGGCGATTCTTTGTACTCGGGGAACTGGGGAGTATTCGTTGAACTTCTTGTTGTTCGGGGTCATATTTAACCTTCATTTTAGTTAACTCCGGGTACTGAAAATTTCTTACTGTCCTGAATTAATTCATTTTGTGAGTATAGTTATTATTTTTTCCTCTAAATTCTTGGGTGTTGTCTTGTTCTATTATACACTCTTAAAACAGACGCCTTTTTTGAGACGGGTGTCTTGCCAAGTTTAATGCCCTGTGTATCCTTTGTTTACTTTAAACTTTTAACTTCAGTTTAGTGAGTTCTTAATTTCGGTAATAGATTTAAGTAAACATTTGATTTATCTTGGTGTCAAAAGTAATAAAAATCTCTATATTCTACAGTGTTGTTTTTCTAGATTAATGTGCCTTTAAATATTGTATATAATTTTTTTTTCATGCCTATGATTTATTAGTGAAAATTAGTATTTGTTTTTTGTTTAGATTTTTGAACTAAAGGTAAAACATTAACACTAACTATTGTTATGTTTTTTCTGCATCTTATTTTATTTCTTAGTTAATATATTGTTTCAAACAATGTATTTTTTCAATAAAGCCCTAGCATGAATTTATAAACAGTATTAAATCATATTGGCTCATGGCATTAAGCCATTATTGTTTTTACTTATTACCAAACTTTAACCTCTTATTCATAGTTTTTATTTAACAATTTCATAATTGTTTAGTATTTTGAGTTTTTTAGATTGATATATCATAGATGCATTTTAAATATTTTACTCATATGATCTTAGCTACTAGATCTATGTATCTGAATGCTGAGATTTCTGTTTATATTTAATCCCCAGTTCAAAGTTCCATTTAGTTTTAACTCTGTGATATTTTTGTTAACAGAAACTGTAAACTTCACTTTTATTTCTTTAAATAAGAAGAAACTTCAATTTCAGAATAAAGGTTCGTTCCAAGGGTCTGTTTAATCTAAATGGTTCCCTGCGGACAGCATGTCTACATTGTCGGGGGTCTCATCCAAGGGGGAGAAAGGAAAGTCAAAGTTCCAATCCCTAGACATAAATAGCTTATATCACAAAAGCAGCAAGGTAAGTTTATTAAGTTTTTAAACTTTTATAACTTGTTATTTTGAGTAGAGAACAGCTTTTTCATTTGTTTAATTTGCCTATATTTTGAGTGTGTTTGCTTATCGGCTATTGTTTCAATGTATAACCTGTTACTTTATTATCTAAATTATTTTGTATATATGGTCAATTGTCAGGACTCGTGATGTTTTTGTTCATAAAACTGTTCCTTCATTTGAATTAGATTGATATAGTAATGTTGTTACAGAATTGTGTTTACATATTTCTAACCTCAGTAGTAATCTCAGTCAATTTATGGAGTGGTTGTTGATTATTGTTAAACACAAATTAATTGTCCTTATTTTTTTATTAATATTTTCTTATTGTAAGTAGTTGTTTCCTATTGTTTGTACTTGTCATTAATTAATGCCAGGGCCTGAATAACATTTTTTCCTTTAAGTTTTTAATATTTGCCATAAGGTCCAAACTTTTTTATTCTTTGTTGGCATTTTTTCAGTCTTCCAAGTTTTCCTAATATTTAGTTAGTTGTGCATTAATTGGTGAATTAAAAGGTAAAGATGCTCATTATTCCATTTAAATTTCATTTTGACATTGGGTGTTGGTAGTTTCTTATGATATGTTTTTAGTTTGAGGATATTGAAGTTGTAACTTTTTAGACTGTGAATGATATCATTGAAACATTATTAGTATTTCTTAACTGCATCACTTCTTATGTTAATATTTAGACTTGTTTTTATTTACCCCAGGTCTTAGTTATTTGATGATTTGATTTTGTATGTCTTTATTTTAATCATACGATGAATTGAGTCATGCATTACATTTAGTAAAGTTTTATGTTTTAAACTAATTTAATTTAATTATATGTATTAGGTCTTTCGTTTACAGGGTAGTGTTGTTTTTTCAAGTAATTGGTATAATTGACAGAAATATATTTTGTTATTATTATTTTCCTTTTTAGAAATCTGTGTTATTCTTTTTAAATGTTTTTAGGTATATATGTACATTGATTTCTTAATTAATTTTTTAGCAATGTTGTATTTATTTGTTTGATGCATATGTAACTATTTTATGCCCAACTGTTAAATATCAACACAATTATATATCTTAGCCTATAAAGTATTTTAAATATGTTTTTTGATTATTTATAAATTTCTGTATGTGCTGCAGTTTAAAATATTTTTTCTTTTACACCAGTATTGTATGTTTGGTTTTCTTAAGCATACAAAAGTAATAATAGGTGTATAAAATTAAAGTGATTGTGCTTTGATTTCTTATGCTAAAATTGTTTCTTTACATAATCTGATTTTAATTTTTTCTTTACTAGATTTTTGTTCAATTGATTGAATAAGGGTTCCTAAATTACAATTTTAAATAATTAATTAGAAGTAATTTTACATTTGTTTTATTTTACCATTCTCAGGCCATTAAAATTAGTATTATTTGATGTGGTAAATTTTCTTTGTCTCTAAAAATTAATGATTGTATGTTTTTATAATACATTTCCAAAAGTCAATGTTTAAACTTTTCCTTCTTATGAATCGATTTCAATCTTTTTCCATATCCTCTCTGGCAAAACTTTGGAGTAAAGTTTGGTGGTTAATTTCTTAATCTTTAACTTCTTGAATGATATATAGTTCTAAAATGTTTTCTTTACTTCTTATTTAGGTATTTTAATTTATATATACACTAATAAAATCATGTTTGTGTTGCATACATACCGTTTATATGAATTTTTCTGATACCAATTGAAATAACCTTTCAAAAAAAAAGTCATGGAAAGGTTCACGAAATGGAGAAATTAATCCCAAAATTATTTTATTAATAGTTGTAATAAGTGAATTACATAATAATAGATAGAGGCAATGTTTTTGCTTTGTTAAATGTTGTAAAGTTGGCTTAGCACCCTTAATTATTCTAATTTGTACTATTGTAAAGATGTTTATTTGATTATATTTCATGGTGTTTAAATAAAAATTAATTTCAAAAACTAATTTTTTCCGAACTTCTAATAAGTTATGTTAACGCTTTTACTAAACGACACTTGTGTTACCTTTTGTACTTAACCTCCTTAAAATGTTATTGGATTGTTAAATTAGAAGTGAGTGGGGGGAGAGGATAAATAACTTAAAGGAATTAAAATTGTTTGCTTTATCAACAATGAGTGTTTATACATGAAAAAGTATGTATGAATATAAGTCCTAATATAATATATGAAAAGAAAATGTGAAAACGCAAAATCTCTAATTCTCATTGGTTGAAGAAGGGTCGGGGCTAGGAAACCTGTCAAAAGAAACTTGTGAGTAACCTTAGTTTAGCATATCAACTGTTGATATCCAATTTACATCAGTTTCCATATAAAAAAACACTGAAAAAGTATGTATTATGTTTATTGAGACAGTCAGGTAAAACTTCAGTATGTTTTGCCTTATTATAGTATCTTTGCTATTGAACTTAACTGTATCTATGTTTTAATTCAAACAGATTTGATGGTTGATAATCATTAACAAATATTTTCATATAATTAATTATATCAGTTTCATAATCAATTTACAGCACTAAATAAGTACTTGGTATCGTTAAGGTGTTTTAACTGACTAAACAGAATGTTTGTTTTGTCAATTTAATATGCGAGGTGTACAGTTAAATGTATTTAATATTCCATTTCTTTTAAATTGGTCTTGGTTATATTTTTCATATTTTTTTTTTTCTTTAGGGGGAATCTTCAGAACAGCACCAGACAAAAAGCACAGCTCCTCGTAAACATGGAATGCAAAGCTTGGGTAAAGTACCATCTACACGGCGAGCTCCTGTCAATTTACCAAGTTTAAAATCTGAGCATAGTGGAAGTGACCCGACAGTAAGTCTAGTTCCAACTGGAGGTACAGGATGGGGAAGCAAGTCATCAGATGCACCTCCTATCACATCAACATCACCGGTATGAATATTGTTAACTATATATCAGAATATATTGATAATAACTAATCTTAAATAAATTTCTATTTCACAAAATAAACATTTGAAGGTTTAACACTTCCTATAAAAAAAAGCAAAAAATTTAGTTCCAAAACCTCCCAACTTCATTTTTTATATTGTTACTTAATTATTTTATTTACTTGAGACAATCTAATTGTTCTTGAGTAAAATTCATTTACTTCATTGCAATGTAGAACCAAAACTGTTAAATATATAGTAATTAAACAATTAAGTTCTGAAACCAGCTATGTTTATTATACAAGAATATAGCTGGTTTTAGAACTTAACTGCTGAACAATTGGTTTAGTTGAACAAATGTCTCAAGTATTAAATATTCAATATCAAGATACTTGAAGTTTATTTTTAATGACTATAGTGGTTTCAGTTTAGGTTAATTTCTTCTACTTCTTATATTAAAAGAAGAAGCATGATGTTTAAAACCAACAGTTATAGTTAATTTTCCAAAACTAAAACTTTGGAATATTAAGAAGGAATTTTGGAGAAAAAAATTAATGAAAATATCAAGATTTAGAATGAAATTTTTCTGATAATAAGAAAACATTTTCGGTAATCTTATTTAAGTGATTGACTTGAAATAAAAACAAAAAGAGATTTTAATTGTATAGATAAAGTTATTTTACTAGTTCAGGAGTCATAATAAATTTCCTAAATACCTGAATTTGAGAAAAGTTGATTGGTTTGATTTTACGGTTTTTAGACTCAAGACCTTGTAATTATATTTCCAAAAAACAACTAGTTATTTTGTTTTATGTTAATTTGTTGCCCTCAGTATAGTTTGAGGCTTTTTTACATTTTTGTCTCTTGTGTGGGTGGCTGTTAGATTTTAGTGCGCCTTTCAAAGAATTTTTTATGCCTTTGTGTGATGTATCTTCAATTCTCTAAATATGTTATTCTAAAAATGCTGGAGTTTCATTGCCGTCATTGCTAGCATAAAGTTTAAAAATTAACATTAGAAGCAGAAAATAGTTAACAGGTTTTTTGAGATTGATTATCCTTCCAGTTTCTTTAAATATCCTCATATGCCTCCTCTGCCTCTTGGAGGTGAATGCAGCTGCTCTACTGTAGCTTTTTGATAAGTTACACGCAACAGTTTTGTCCATGCATATGGAAAATAATATTAGGGATTGCACAGACTGAGAGCTGTTCCAGACCGTCTTTTTTTTATATAAAAATTTACATGATTCAATGTATGTTAATAAACTAAGATTGACAAGAATCAGAATTTGAATCTTTTAGTTGGAACTAAATTTGTTTACTTTTACTTGAATAATATTTCTGCTGAAACCTTATAAACGGAAATACAAAGTTCTCTTATCATAATTAAGTAGTATATTAATGTAATTTTTGATATATTTTTAAAATTAGTTTTTATCGTTTAATACTTTTAAAGATTTAAATGGATATATTTTGTTCTGCAGGTGAGTACTACGAGTGGGCAAACCCCGGGTACAAATGCCCCTGCTGTCGTGGGGACGGCCCCTGTGCCACAGACCAACATCACACCGACACCACCACAACCTCCGAAACCAGTAAGTTTTTTTTCTTCTTTTTTAAATGTTCTAGCTCTCTCTTACAGGTAAAAGTGTCAAAACTCTGTGGTTGTATAGGTGGTGAGCGTAGGAGGAGACAAGACTTGGAGTTCAGTAATGGTAGGAGGAGAGGGTGGAAGTGGTGGAGTAAGCTTGAGTGGAGGGAGCGGACCATCATTTCTAGCCCACCAGTCGCCTCAGTTCCAAGCGGAGTTCCCCTCACTACTTGGGGAGGGAGGGGTCCCGGGCCCCCCTCCTCAGGGGGGTGAAGGCGGATATGGCCCTGGTCCGTCTCTTCGCCCTCAGACTGAAGGATCCTGGGCTCATGGTGGAGGATATCAGGCCCCTCCGCCGACACAGGACACTCAACCCCGGCCTCTCACTCAGTTTCCTCCTCCGGTTTCCACTCCTAATATTGTTCCGCAATATAAGGGTGTAGTACCATCATTTGTAAGTGGTTTTAACTTCTTTTCTCATAAATGTGTGAATGTTATATCAGAAATAAACCTATATTCATTATTTAGATAGAGAGTTGAATATAAACCATCACCCTATGTTATTATTTTATTATTTTTTTATTCTTGTAGTACTGTTTTAATTTTTCTTTTATTATTGTTAGCTCTAAAACCTGTATTCGTTGTTTAGGTAGATAGTGGAAAGTAAACAATCACCTTATATCATTAATTTTTATTCTTGTAGTACTATTTTAACTTTTATTTTTTTATTGTTAGCTCTAAAATCTGTATTGTTGTTTAGATAGATAGTTAAAAATAAACAATCATCCTATATTAATAATTTTTATTTTTGTAGTACTATTTTAACTTTTCTTTCTTTATTGTTAGCTCTAAAACACCTGTATTCGTTGTTTAGATAGATAGTTAAAAATAAACAATCACCCTATATTATTTTTTTTCTTGTAGTACTATTTTAACTTTTATTTCTTTATTGTTAGCTCTATAATCTGTATTCGTTGTTTATATAGATAGTTAAAAATAAACAATCACCCTATATTATTAATTTTTATTCTTGTAGTACTATTTTAACTTTTCTTTCTTTATTGTTAGCTCTAAAACACCTGTATTCGTTGTTTAGATAGATAGTTAAAAATAAACAATCACCATATATTATTATTATTTTTCTTGTAGTACTATTTTAACTTTTGTTTCTTTATTGTTAGCTCTATAACCTGTATTCTTTGTTTACGTTAGATAGTGAAAAATAAACAATCACCCTACATTATTAATTTGTATTCTTGTAGTATTATTTTAACTTTTTTTTTTTATTGTTAGCTCTAAAACATTTTTAGTTGGTTTGTACAAGCTTTGATTAACAAAATTGTACATATGGCTCAGAATGTTTTAGTTATGATAGTATTTTGTTTTTTTAAGATTCTAAATTTTGCTTCAAGAATGACAGTTAACTGAAGTAGATATTCTAGAATAGCTCCTTTATTTAAACTACTCAAAATGGCTTATGCAACTACTTTGTAGAAATAATAATTATGTATCGAAATAATTATTCATGAGAATTATCTTTTTTATAGATGTTAAATAGCAGAGCTGGTACTGGTAGCAACAATAGTACTGAAGTCAGTGGTGCTGCTGGTGGTGGTGGCGGTGGGACTGGTGGTGCAAGTTTTGGAAAATTTCCTGGCAGCATCTTCCCTAGCAACTTCCAGAATCCTCCACCGATTAGAACCACCAATAAGTTTCATGGTTCTGCAGAAAATAGGTAAGGTTCTTTTATTTACAATATTTTAATTGTTTGTATACCTCAGTTAACAAGAAGTTAAATTAGCAGTATTAAATAATTTTTATTCAGTTTATTAATTTTTTGTCAATTATTTAATACCTGCTTATCTTTATATTTCCAAAAAAAAAAAAAAATTAATTTTTTATCTGAATTTTCAATATAGGTTTCTTGGTGGAGGTTCTCGACCACCACCAATGGCTGATCCTGAAGACTTGATTCCTCGTCCAATAATACGAGAAGAAGATCTTAACAGAATGGATGAAATATCTCGAGATACTGGTTGGGCAACTCAAGATGACATTGATTATAAGTAAGGATCTCAAGTTAAAATATCATTTCTACATGGATTATCATCGTCTAAGCACTAATATTATTTTTTAGACTAAAATAATGACTTGAAAGTTTTATTTTCAAATTAAAATTAATTATCTTCTTAATTGTACTTATGGCTTTTTATTTCTTACAGTCAGAAATTGGCCTTTAGTGATGATGAAAGTACTGGGAATGATGAAGACAAGGATAGAGTGAAATCATTATCTTTACAAAGTAAAGAAGAAAAGAAAGATACTGAAAATGAAAAGGTAAGTTTTTTCCCAATGATCTTATTATGTATGCTGATATAAAAGTATATTTTAACTAACTACTTAAATATTTTAACAAAAAAATTGTGACTTTTAAAAAAAAATTGCACAAATCATTTTAGAATCATCCTGTGCATATAGCGTTGCAGAGCCAATTAACGGTTAAGATGTATACTAAATACTTGTTATATCAGGAGTATACCCAAAATTTAATAGTAAAGTTAAATTTGATGATAAATGTACCTCCCCAAGAATTTTTTTTTAAATTCACTGATCAAAAATTTGTTTTTTACATCTTTTGAAGAGATCTTATTACACACATTGTAATTCTTATTGTCAAGTGTTTTATCATATGTAGTCATTAGATTGATATATGAGTGAGAAAAGTAGTTTTACTGGATTCTCTAAGTCCAAAATAAAATTCCAATGGCACCATAAAATTTAATTTATAGAACTATGTAATGTACCTGAAAATATATTATTTAATAAATATTACTCATTTAAGCAGTACTTAAACATTTAGTACATACTATTTGTGTATAGATATGTAAATACTGTAAAAAATTTAAAGTTGAGATTTTCTGCAAAATCTTGGAATTAACACATAATATTATAATTGCTCTGGTGGTTGAATGGTTGAAGGTAAGATAGTAAAATAATATATGTTATTGAAAAAATAACAATGCCCAACAAGTTTCTTTCTATGAATTTTTCATGGAATGGAGAGACAGAGAGTTGGCTAGGCAAACAAAGATAAGAACGGGAAGGCAAAAATTTGTTTTTCAAAATCATAGCTTATTGAGCTCTGTTATCTTGAAAACAATGCAAGATAGTGAAAGAATGAATATCAAAGATCTTGTTGGAAATTTTATCAGCTTTAATTTTGTATAGAACATCTTTATCACTAATACTCATGGTTTCCCCAAGCACAGAACCTAAAAAAGGGAATCTGGTTGTCTCCCTCCCCCCCCCCCTCCATATCTGGTTTCATCTCCTTGGAGTGGGGAGTATGTTTAGCTACTGATTAGTCCAAATCGAGTAAAAAATTGTGTTCCTTCCATTTCCCTTTTTGAGCACTCATTGACTGGATTGCAGGATTAACTGCTGTAGAAAAATAAAATATGATGAATCTTGCGAAGGAGTTTGGCATTGGTAGCATTTCAATGATTAGATTAGTTTAGGTCTCTTAGCATCCGGCATTATGCTCTCAATGGCTCATCTTCTTTTCATATTCCTCAGAGGGTTTTCAGGAATTGTTTTAGATAAAAGATCATGAGGATTGGGTGACAAAATAATTTGGAATTAAAAGAGGAATATTTCTAATTTTGGGCCAAATCTTCAACAAAGGGAATGGTGGTCTATATTGATAATTTTATTTGTGACATAATAAAGAGCTTTGAGGATTTTGGATTGTTCTAAGGATTAGATACTGAAAGAATTTAATGATTTTGTGGAGTCCCAAAGCTCAATTCCATATCCTCCAAATGTACCTGATAATAATGTTAATAGGTTTTTAAATTAAAAAAAAAAATTAATATTGGAAGTTTAGAGCATTTATTGAGTAAATGTATTAATTGGAATCTGGGAACAATTTCTTGTCTTTTCAGTCCAGTAAAAGGATTACAAGAAACACGTTTGTCGAGATGGAGTCTTAGGTAACGGATTTATTCAATAGGAATAAATGGAATATTGTTGAAGGATGTAGGACAGGTTATAGTAGGTTTAGGATGAAAGGGAATGTGATTTATTGGGATTGATTAACATGAAAAGTGAATATAAAAATGAAAAAAAAAAATTTCTTTATTATGCCTCTTGCATTGAACAGTTGTAAGTTAAGTCAGCCTAATGGAATATTAGTTATATACTTATTTTGTTTCCTCCTACTTCTATAATAAAAATAATGTTTTTTTAATAATTTAGAGGCATTTCTGATGAAACAAAATTGTCAGGATTTACAGTCAAGAATTTTTTTTTTTTTTATTTAGCCGATGTTTTGACTAATATGTTTGGGGAAAATATTAGCTAACCTAATAAAAAAAATTCTTGACTATAAATCCTGACAATTTTGTTTCATCCTTATAATTGATGAGTCAACCATTACCCATCTCTTAGAGGTATTTCCTTTGTTTGTGGTTGAAATGATGATACCTGATGACGAGTCTAAGGCTGTTGGTATGGTGTGATAAATTGTGCTTGAGGAGTATTTCCAATGGCTCAACTGTCTTATCACAACTTCCTGCATGCTGATGATGAATTTGGCGTCTGATCAACTATGTTGTGTTCTATAATCCAGGAAAATATTTGCCATTCTTGTTATTTGGTTCTTTACAATAAAACGGGATTTTTATTTTAGTAAATAGTAGGTTTTTTGTTGAGAATTATAATCCATAATTTGAATCATGATCACTTTTTTAAATTTATTAGTGTAGTTTTCAAAATAGGTTACGAATTCTGATGTTAATTTCCAGTAAAAATTTTTATTTTGTATATCGTCTATTAGCCTTTTATTAATTGCATATAAACTACTTTATCATCCTTAAATGAAAAACTATTTGATGGCTTTGATTTACTGTTAAGGTGTTATAAAACACAAAACAATGATTAACAGACAGATTGTTTGGCTGTAAAAAGTTTTCCCTTAGTTGCTCGCGTTAGCAATTTTGGATTTTACGTGTTTGAAGCCATATACACTAGTTGAAAAAATAACTTTTTCTACATTTTTCATAATATTTTGTCCATTTTTGAAAGCAGTGGCTCTGGAATGGCAGGCAAGATTCATAATTTATATTCAAACCTTCACCTGTGATCAGGTCAATTTTTTAACTCTAGTTCCAGGGCTATTTATATACAGTGCAGTATTGTTTTTTCAACTATTATTTATTCTGAAGAGAAGAATAGTTGGGATGCTCAGTCAAAAAGGAAGGCAAAAAATAAATTATAATATTTATTTTTTTCAAATATGCCGACGTTTCGACCTGAAGTTCAGGCCTTCATCAGGGCTAAGAAAATAACCAGATAACAAGGTATGAGAAACATAAGTAATGATGGTAAAAAAAGATAATAAAAAATGAGAAAATAAAAATAAAATAAAAATGTAACACTTTTGTCACCCCTTTTTGATTATGCCTACTTCATCATTCCACACTATGTAACAGTTTTTATTATTTATCTCTTAGTTCTTAGTCATTATTCTAACAATTTCATTTTACTTTATATCTATCTATTTTATTTTTCTAATAATTTTTTTTATTTTTATTTTCTCATTTTTTATTATCTTTTTTTACCATCATTACTTATGTTTCTCATACCTTGTTATCTGGTTATTTTCTTAGCCCTGATGAAGGCCTGAACTTCAGGTCGAAACGTCGGCATATGTGAAAAAAATAAATATTATAATTTATTTTTTGCCTTCCTTTTTGACTGAGCACCCCAACTATTCTTCTCTTCATTATCCACGACAGTCAACCAATTACCAATTATTATTTATTCTTTTAAATGGCTTCCATGAAAACCTGTTAAATCCTCCTTCCCCCCCATTTTTTGAATAAATCGAATAATTATACATCAGCTAGTATATTCATGATACTTATTTGAAAGTTTTTTTTTTAATTTACTGACTTAAATTTTGATCTTGAGATCTGTTTCATTTTTTTTTTTTTTCTAACTTGACAAATTTATAGTGGTTTAAATTTCTCTGATATCTGTAGAAAGTTGATATAAGTGGAGACACTAGATATTTCTGTTTTAGTTTAAAGTAAATATATTTAACTCCTTTAATATCTCTTTGATCTCTTAAAGAACAAATAATAATAAAAACAGGAAATAATTAACTTAACTGGCTCTCTGGATTAACACGCGATAGTAGTAAAATAAAAATAAAAAATTTTAACATCCTTAAAAGAACTTATAACTTTGTGAGATTCTCAACCACTGTTTTCTAGTGTTCGATAGATTTTAAATAGATTGAAATGTAGACAAACAAGGTTTTTGTTTATTATTTTTTCACAACTGGCCGAATCTCAATAAAACAATCTGCACATATTACCTACGTTAGATATGAAACATTTTCTTGGAAAGTTTTTGGTCGAGGTTTTTGTTTGTATGCTATGTTTTTCTTTTCAGTTGTGTTACTGATTAAGTTATGTGTTGAATTTTGATTTTTCTGCAATATAGAAGATTAAGTAATATTGGAGTTGTTTTTTTTTTTATTTCACACCCTCCGTATTAACCGGCAATATCTCGGTCCCGATGAGGGCAGATAAGCGGGACTCTATTGTAATGAATGTTATACTTGAAGATGTTCTGAATATCATTGTAATATGTGATCATGTTTAATGTACATTGACTACTATTAATAATTCATTTTTTATTTCTATTAATGCGTATTACATTGATTGTTTTTAATCATATTTTAAAATTTGAAACAGTGTGTAACATGTTGAGTTTTATTATTAAGGAGAATCGTGAGAAGATTAATATCAATGAGCGTCTCGCAGAAAAGAATAATCAACCTTGGCAAGGCAGAAGCTCAGCTAATATTCCTCCATCTGACTTTAGAAGTCCACTCTCAAGACTACCTCATCCAGTGAGTTTATTTGTTTTTCTCAAATATATAAAAACAAATTTTAATTTTTTAAAAATTTATTTTATTTTTTTTATATTTTTTTTTATACAGTTTCTAATTTCAAACAGATACCTATATATTTTCTTCTCCGTTGTTTTAAGTTACACATTTCATTATATCAACATACATTAATTCCTTGGAATATTTATATTTATTTTTATATTTTTTAGATTGCTTTAAATTTTTTTGTCTGTAATGCTTAGGTAGGAATAATCTTATAAATCCTTGGGAATTTGTTTTTTTTTTTTTTTTTTTTTTTTGCCAGCTATCAGTTCTCATACTATTATAGCCCGAGAGCTGGTTCTGCATTTTTGTGATTTTTTAAAAATAAATCTTGCTAATTATAGGTATACAGTGATAATGTCCATCCTCAGCAAATATTGTATAGTGAATTGTGATTTGCACTATTCTGCCAACTTAAGGTGTGGTACATTTCAAAATGAGGAAATCTCATCAATGGGGAGTGTCCAGATCAATATAAAAATTATATCAATTAAAGATAATTAATTTCAAGCCAATATGAAATTGCAGATGCAAAAAGAAAATGGGGGATAGGGTGGTTGAGCAGGCTAACATGTGTGCAAAACACGTGTTGCCTGGCAACCTGATAAACAGAAGACATGATAACACAACTACAAGTTAGCATTTTGCAGTTGTTGGGCTTTAAACTCCCTCCCTTAAATCCCATAAAGGGAAGGACAAAAAAAAAAGATGTCAAAAAAATATTGTCTGCTAAAGTGTGTGGTAGCATAATTATAAAGTCATGCCGGAAGACATAATTAAAACTTCACTGTAGTTTTTTTCCACTATATTGTGCACTTCTTCAAATATCAGGAAAACTGGTATTTTTTTTATATTTATAATTTTATAAGTTTCAATTTAATCCATATAGAGCTTTTGTTTTTATTTTAGTAAATATGATGAAAACTATTACTCTTAAAATTTAATTTATACAAATTATTTTTGTTTTAGCTGTTCCAAAGTTATTTGCTTAAATAAAATCTCAAAATAGTGATTTTATTTAAGCTGATAGGTTGTTTTTAAAAACTGTCCTTTGGAACTTATTTGTTATCTAAGTTAAATTTGTTTCCGTATTTAATGAAATTGAAAAGTGCCAATTGTCAAAATCGGGATAATAATTTGTATGTTCATTGATTTCACACTATATTATTAATTATAATAATTAGTTTAATGTGAATTAAAGAAAAGGCTAATTTGTTAAATTTATAAAACAAAGCATATTAAATGTATTTTTAAAACTTCTGTTAGTAATTTTCTGAGCTTAAGACATGTTTTTATTACTGTGGTATATTATCCCAATTAATTGAAAACTGTTATGTGACCACATGATTTATATAGTTTAATAGTGGTTAAAAAAAAATTATAATTTTCTTATGCAATTTTTTTTTCTTCTAGAATACTCGTGAAATGGATATGGATGATGTATGGAAAGAAAAAAGAAGACAAACTTCTGAACAAGTAGCTGCAGTAGCTGAAAAAGCTAAACAGCGTAAAGAAGAGGAAGAAAAGCGATTTGAGGAAACTCGTTCTAAAACTGAAAATGAAAGAAAGAAGAAGGAAGATACCGAAAATGATTGGGAAAAGGAAGAAAAGAAAGATTTAGCTGAAGCATTTAGACAAATGACTCAGTTGGAACCAAGGAATTACCCACGCCCAGAACCTCAACAATCTTACCCAAGGTTTTTATTTTCATTATTAAACCTTATTAATCATATTGATATAGAATTTAAATGAAGAAATGAAAAGTTTTCTGATGATAAAGATTTTTATTTTATTGTTTTAAAATAAGGAATAGTTAAATTGATTAATTTATTTCAGAAACTAAACAAAACATTTTTTTTTATTACTGAAATAACAAAACAATTTTAAGTAAATGTTTAAAAGATGAATATATATAATGATGTAGAGTTGGTTGACCGTTGATATGATATGAGAAGGAATTAGTCGAGGGTGCGGTCAAAAAAATAAAAAAATTAAAATATATAAATAATTTTAATTTTTGCCGACGTTTCGACCCACTTTGCAGGTCGTCTTCAGGGCGTTGGATGTGGCACTGCGGGAGGCGGTTGAAACACTGGACAAAAAAATAAAAAAATTAAAATATATAAATAATTTTAATTTTTGCCGACGTTTCGACCCACTTTGCAGGTCGTCTTCAGGGCGTTGGATGTGGCACTGCGGGAGGCGGTTGAAACACTGGACACAAAAAAATAAAAAAATTAAAATATATAAATAATTTTAATTTTTGCCGACGTTTCGACCCACTTTGCAGGTCGTCTTCAGGGCGTTGGATGTGGCACTGCGGGAGGCGGTTGAAACACTCATTTTCAACATCAAATTCACAAATTCACAAACAAACAAATTCACTCACATTCATCAAACACTCAGTGTTTCAACCGCCTCCCGCAGTGCCACATCCAACGCCCTGAAGACGACCTGCAAAGTGGGTCGAAACGTCGGCAAAAATTAAAATTATTTATATATTTTAATTTTTTTATTTTTTTGACCGCACCCTCGACTAATTCCTTCTCATGAATATATATATATGGTGTTAACAATTAATCCGTACATTATTTATTTTTTTATGATTAATTATTCAAGATCCAGCTTTGAGCTAAGTACCTAGAATTTCAACTTGAAACTGGTGATAATGACACACTTGTTTAGACATCAGTAATTCAATTATGATCTATGATTACTCATTCATAAGAATTATTAAAAATCATTCATAAAAACTAATTTTTACTCGACACCATATAAAATTTTGTTGTTAATACCTGATAACACTTTATTTAAGATTAACATTTTTGTTGGATTTATATCAAATGATGAAAATAAGATACTCCTATAGTTTTAAATCAGTTTATATCTTACATGTGCTATTTTTCCTTATTTTCAGGTATTCGAATCCTTTGCTACCTCCAAGATTTCAAAAACAACAAAACATAAGACAACAACAACAACAGCAGCAAGCTGGAAGTTCAGAAAATCGTTGGGGAAATAATCAGCATTTTCCCAGTAATAAACAAAGGACACGAGGTGAGAGTGATGAAAATAAGGATAAAGAAGATGACAGGGATAAGAGAGAGAGAAATACCCCTGAACCTAGTGAAAGGTAGGCAAATGAATTTTCAATTTAAAAATCTTTTTAGTCTACATTCTATTATTTGAATTAATATATATGTAGGCTATCTTTTGACATTTGATCCTTTACTTTTAATCATAAGGGGTGGAAAGGAGGGAATGAAAATTCATAGAAATCTCAGTTTGTTCTACATATAAATTCAACAAAATATTTCTTTTAAAATATTATTATTTAAATATTTGGTTGTTACCTATTGCTTTTAAGAATATTGTTTTAGACTAAATGAAAATTTGTTGTTCTATAAAATATTATAAAAGAAGATATTTTACTGAATTCTTACTTTAATTTATTTTGTGAAATAAAGCATAATCTCCAAAAACTTGCAATATTCCTGTTAAAAAAAAAAAAAAACTAATTAGAACTCCCTTTTTCAATAAATATAATGGGATGTTTTTGCTGGATAAAATATATATATAAAGTAAAATTTTATTCAGTTTACATTTAAGTATGTTTAACATAATTTTCTATAAAACTTTTTTTTTAATTAAAGGATAACAGAAAATAATGTTAAGATTTATTATTGATTAAAATTTCTTTTCCACATAAATTATTAAATTTACTATTGTAATAATTTCGCTAGGTTCAGGTCTAGCAACATGCGCAATGACAGAGGTTATGATAATAACAGGAAAAGTGTTGGGTATTATGACAACCAACATGATTATCCCAGAAGTTATCACCGAGACAATGACCAAGAAAGGGATAGAAATAAGGACTCAGAATCTCGAATGTAAGTTGTTTATTTGTATACTTCCTTAAAACTTACATAAATTGGACTTATGGCTTTCTTTTATATTAAGCGTATTAACACTGTAGTTTTTAAAGTTCAATTAGAAAATCCTTTTTTCTTATATTACTTCATTAACTATTTAGAGTTAGAGATCTGTGTCCTTTATTATAACCTTAGATTTAAGCTTTTCATCATCTTGCTTCATATTTTTTCGCATGTATGAATCTTCTAATTGTTTGATTTAATGTAAAATATAGTTTGTTTGTGCAAGTAACACTAACAATATGTGAATTTTTGTTATATTTTTAATAATTAAGCATTAAAACAAGGATTTTTTAGATTAAATTCCTATATTAAAGTAATTTGCTGATTTTTAACAAGAGTTTGTAACAGTGTTTTGCTAATTTTCATTGATAAACAGATGCCTCTTTTTGCTTTAAAAATGTTTGATGTATTTTATTTTTAAAAATAGTAAAGATATGCGTTAATTAGTTTTAATGTGCAAATCAATAGTTGTTATGTTATGTTCACTTTTTAAAACATATCCATTTAATGTTTTTGAATCTGAAATTGTTTATTTCCAGGCGTGATAGAGAAAATGAAGTTGAATGGGAAAACCGAAGAATGGGAAATTCTGCTTGGGATGGAAATAGAAATTTTGAAGATAACAAACCTATGAATCGGAGAGATAACAAAAAACCCAATGAAGGCTATAATAAACCTCATGTAAATCCTATATATTTAGCATATCCACTTTTACAATACAATTTTGATAGTCCAATATTTGATAAATCTGACAAAGTTGCCAAACATAATGAAGAGCATTTTATATTTCGTAGCGAAAATCACTTTTATTTGTAGTAGTTAACCACTAATATCCTTTTTCTTACTAAACACAATTTCTTATACATCCAAAATTCTATGGAGACTCATCTATCTATTCAGCTATATCCATATTATAAAGACAGGCTGATGTACTTGAGTGGAATGGAGCTTATTGTTTTCCTATCACAAAATATTTTTTGTTTTTAGTTTAAAAAGTTGTGCGGTTTGTAAGTTATGATAATTATGTTTTCTTAATGAAAAAGTTATAATAAAATTCTTTGCTTAGCATTATTTTGATCTTCACACCTTATTTTTCATTATTTTAATATGAGCTTCAGTTGTCATGAATATTAGATAATCCAATAACTTGTTTGTCGCTCCTATTTTTGTCAGGTTATCAAGATTTGACTATTCAAAATCTTATTAATAATTTTTTCATCATTATAATAATGTCTTAATTTTTATTTTTATTTGTAGCCTGGTTTATTTGATGACCGAGATAACGATTGGAGAGAAAGACCTGCTGAAAATCGTGATAGGCCTGTGAGGCCAGATTCAAGAGATAGCCGAGCATCTCGAGATAGCAGAGCTTCAAGAGAAGATACCAGGTATTATTTACATATTATATAATTACAATATATATACTATAGATAATCATATCCACACACATAGGCTATAGGTGTTCCGATTGTAGTTTTAACCATTCACAGACCGAGTTTTCTCTAAATATAATTTTAATTTTTTTAAAACATTTTTGCCTTTCTTATTTTTCTTATGGATAATACCAATACTAAAGTGCATTTTCTACGGAACTGCTTCAAATATTTTAAAAAGTAATCAGTGTTTTAGAAAGAGTAATATATTCTCCAGATGTTTTATTTCAGCACGTTTTGCGTTATTGTTGGCCGTTTAATTACAAACGACACTTGATTTTCAACTTTTTTGTAAAAAAAAAAATTGACATTACTGATGTTTTTTATTGTCTTAGCCAATTATTTTATAATATTTGTTCATGTTTTATTATTCTCTGATGACTATCCAGCTTTAATAAAAGACCAACTATGACAAAATTAAGCCAAATGCTCTGATTCTTAGTAACCAAAAAACTAACTTAAGTCTAAGTCGCCAATACGCCATTTAGGGGCAGTGCGTTAACTTTTTTTTGTTGGAACATAGGCTTATTTTTAATAAATAGTTACAAGGAACACAACGATATGCAATTTACAGGGATCTGGGGGTTCTGGCCCACCGTGTAGTATGCTCCCTTTAATTCTTGGCAAAACTTGAAGGAGGCTCATCAATACTGTCTTCCGAAATTCTTAATCTTCAGATCAGCAGCTTGAGTTGATCCATTTGTTGTTTAAAGCGACACATTAAGTTTTCTCCATCTCTATAAGTGCTTCTCGGCATTCTTTGTTCGATTAAGAGTTATCAAAGGACATTTTATAATAGCCCCTGTTGCATTTTATTTTGCAAATCGTCCAGATCTAGACTTAGCATTTGTTTCACAAGTAATTTTTTTTAATGAGTCATCCCAATTCAGGCCATAATTGTTGCCAGCCTAGATAATATACGACCATTAATTTATCAACAATCAATGGCTTTAAAGCTATTAAAATAACAAATTTGGTTTACTGGAAAGGGTGAAAGGAGCAAGTGAAAAGTTGGTAGCCCAGATGAACTCTGATCAGAAATGGCCATCGTTCCCAATTGAATGATCGCATGCTTGAGCCTTAGTATCAATATACCAATTAATTTTCTTATTCTTTTCGAACAATTTCTTTACAAGAAAAAAAAATATTGCTGCAGTAATCAAACGGAAATTTTGTTATAGAAATTAAGAAGAAGAAAAAAACTTAAAAAGGCATGTTAAGCATTTAAGTTCATAAAGGAAAATAAGGGGCTAATTCATAGTAAATTATTTGTAAAAAGTATTATATTATAGTAAGAAGGCACTTTTCATTTATTTCTAAGAATTATTAGTAACTAAAATTTGAAGAAAATGAACTACCAGTTTTAGTTTCTAAAATAATTTCTCACATTATTAAAACACTAAGCAAGTGTTTAATTTTAGATAAACATGTTTATATACAATTCCGAAGATTTGTTCCCCATTATGGAACCTATGGTCTGTAAATTGTTAATTTAAGATTCTAAGCCAATATTGTGTTTTTAGGTCCATTCAAGATACTGTTACTAATGATTATTCTTGGACTGAGACTGAATTCGAAAAAGAGATTCATGAAGAAAGACCTCGAAGAAAAGAAAATTATAAAGAAGATCGGAGAGAAACACAGGTTAATAGTCCAGAAATATAGTATTATGTTATAAGCTAGCTACATCCCATTTCCTAATTTATGTTGAGTTATTGGTCAATTTTATGATTTGATTAAACCAAAATTTGTTCTCTTAACGAAACCTAGAATACTAACTAGATAAATTTAATAACTAACTTAGGCAAGACATGGATTTTTTTTTAATATTCAGGTTTTAAACTTGGTCATTATATCAATAAAAAACATCCCTATACTTCAAAGGTGATTTATTGAGATTATTTTGTCACATCTTCAAAACATTTTATGCTCACAACAGGTATTTACACCTGCCTTGTATTGTTTATTTATTCTTTATGTTCATATGTCCTGTCTTCCAAGTTCACTTCACTACGCTGTGTTACTATTTGTGATATTAATAATCTATTATCGCATTAATATAATTCATATTTACAAATGGATCACAATACAGTTGTGCCTTTCTTAATGAAAGGATGCCTGTATTGTTTTAATACCTATTAAAATTACTAAATGACTCCAACCTAGAAAATTAAAGGAAATACAAAAAAAAAAATGTGCCTTTTCTGTTTATAAATCTATTAAAATTACTAAATGACTCCAACCTAGAAAATTAAAGGAAATACAAAAAAAAAAATGTGCCTTTTCTGTTTATAAATCTGTTGATTTTCAATACCTTTTGTTTTATAAATTCAATGAAATACTGGTTTTTCTACTTTTAACTTGAATATTATTTTAGTTTTTTTTTTAAATTTTTATGCTCATGTGTATTGTTTCTCTTGTTCAGCCCTCTAGGCGAGAAGGCTATGTTCCAGGACCAATTACTAAAGAGAAAATGGAAGCTTATGAGCATAAACATAATATGGCTCAGGTCATAAAGGTATTCTATTGTTATTATTCTTTTTTTTTTTTTTTTTTGTTATCTCTACCTTATTTTATTATTTGTTTTAAATTATTTCCTGAATGTGTTTTAAACTTGGCAGCAAGAGAAGAAGGAATTGTTGGGTTCAGCTTCATTAGAAAACAAAAATATTGAAGAAGATAGTTGGAAGAAAACAGAGACAAGCAATAACAGTAATAATGTTTCTTGGGCCGATTCTGCTGATGACAATTCAGGTCAGCAGCAGCAGCAGCAATCATCACCACCTCAGAGCAAAGGAGCTTCCGAACCATCAACATCTGTTCCTGGTAAAATTACCTCCTACATTTTCAGTCTATACATTACAAACATATGATATGTTTTTATTTTGATTGCATGAACGTTTTTCATACCAGACCATTAATGCAAGAATCAGTTTTTTAACATCTATTTTCAATCGAACGAACTGGATTGAGAATTACCAAATATAAGGAATTTTAGTTCCTATACTCACAGCGTTTGTCTTAAAAAATATCGCAATTACATAAACAGCAGCTAAATAAGAATAACCACTCATTATTATTAACAAATATATATTTTTTTTCTGTATGAAATGTTGAAATATAATTATTGAAAAACTTATACCTTGTGTATTTAACTTGCAAAAAATCTGTAAAAAAAAAATTACGTTTATGAATTGGGAATATATAGAGAATCAAATTCACATTTTCCCTACTATTTGAACATTCTTGCCCTGGTACTAATTTGTGTAAAATAAGAAGTAAAAAATCCTCTTGATGTTTAACGGGGTGGCTAAGAGGGCTAACGCCTGTTTTTTAACAATTTGATAAACTAAAGATTGTGAGTTCGAATCCCAGTGTTGGGAGGGGGGCTTATAGCTGACATAAATCCCTGGCATGGGAAAAATTCATATAGCTGAAAAAAAAAAAAAAAAAAAAAAAGGAAGGAGGCAAAAATCCTAATCATTATTTTTAACTATTACTTATTGTTTCTGTTCTAGAACATTTGAATATAAAATACTGTTTAAAATTCTATGCTTCAATTCCATGACCACTTGAAATTAAAGAAATGATCGTGTAAAAAATATATATTTATATATATATATATATATAGAGAGAGTCTGAAGTATTATTCTTGCTGACTTCTGAGCATTATTTGATATATTTTCTTATACCTACCGATCAGATTCCTGAAATGGAACTTGAATCCATGTATAGGTTTTTTAAAGTCTCATAATTTTGGTCTTACGAGCTTTTTCATGACTAATTTTTCTTTTATTATGTTTTAGCATCTAGTCCAGCGGATGATAATAGCAACGATAGAGCTAGTATTAAAGAAGAAGTTATCACAGTTGATAAAAAGAAAGATATCTCCATTAATAGTAACAGTAATGCTATTAGCAATAAAGATAAGGGGATGGGTGTTGGCAGAGGAGCTGGTGGAAGAAGCGGTAGTGGTAGCGGTCGAGGAAACTGGCAACATTATTCCAACAACTATGTCTTTTATCGAGGCACTGGCTCTTGGGGCAATAACAAAGACACAAATAGGTATGGAAATCTACTCTTTATAATTTTCTGCTATTAAAATATGATATATTTTTGTTTAAAATGAGTGATATTGAAGGATATTATCTTTACATACCACAACTGCTGGTGCAATCAATTTTCCAATTTAATGCTATTTATACTAAAGGTGACATTTTGTAGTGTACCGCTATGGAAAATAGCAGAGGCAAATAATCAGTTTTTTGAGTCCCCTATAAAACACTCAATTTTCACATAATACCTTTTACACTAACAGTATTGAAATATATATTTTTTTCATTTGGTTCAATACTCATTATATACTATTTATGGACTAAAAAAAGTTTTTATTTTTATTAAAAAATATTTTGCAATTTATAAACATTTTTTGTAACTCCTGGGGAAGGGAGCATAAAAATTAGTAATGTGCAGTTGAAATTTTCTTAAGGATTGTTTATTGACTTAATTCTAAAATACAAGGCATTTTACATTCTTATACAGTTATTTAACTCATCCTGGTAGTTAGCTGTAATATCCTTGAATTTTTTGTTTTTCTTTCTTTATTGTTGTATTTGTGTTTTGTATGTATATCAGGGTTTTTTTAAATTAATTTAATGATTCATTTTATTATTATATATTTATTTTATTTTTGTAATCAGGAAAGGGACTTCAAAGCCTGGTAAACATTGGCCCCCTGCATCAGATTCTGAAGCTTCAGGGGATGAAGTTTCTGCCTCAACTGAATCTGGAAAAGAAGATAAGAAAATTGACAGAAAACAAATTCCTAGGCTAGTTCATTTTGTCTATTTTCAATGGAATAAATTATATATTTTATAATACAAAAAATTCTTTTAAAAAAATTTTGATTTTACTTTGTAATTTTGTCAATATTATTCAATTATTCTCTGTAATTTTTCATTTAACAGAAATACATAATATATTTAATTTATCTCGTTTTGTTCTAAAGTGTGGTTTTGATAAACTGTTTATTTTGAAATTTTTAGATCTCCAAAGTCAGGAGAAAGGAAAAAAGACAAAGACGATCGTAATCGAGACCCCAAAAAAAATGAATCTAATGAAAAGTCTGTTGGTGGAAATACAAACCGTAAGTCTCAACAACAGCAACACTTACAGCAGAATTCCCAACAACAGTCCAATCAAGGACCACAAGCTCAGGTGCAAACATCCAATATGTCAAGTCAGAACCAGCAGCAAGGAGGAGGCTACGATAGTGGAGGAGGTAGAAAAGAAGGCTTTCAGCCACGTGGCGAACCATCCCGTCGTGGGAGGGGAGGGTTTCGAGTGTCTGGTGGAAGAGGTCCCCACATTGGAGCTCACTATGGCCCTCCAGGATCTAAACCAGCATTTCCAACACCACCACCCACCAATAAAGAAGAAGAAGCAGCTGATTCCAGCTCTGAGGAGAAGAAAAGACCCATCATTACAGGTATACTTCGGAGGCCAGAATCTTGATGAACTTAATGATTGCCTGACTAATCCTCCCTCTGCACTGCAGGGGAATTGAGCTCTCCTCAGGAGGCTAGTTCTCCATCTTTCCGCCCCTCCCCCCTCGCTCCCTTCTCACTCTCTTTCACTTTTCAACTATGGTACCCTCTCGTCGCCTCCTAAAGCTACCTACATATTCTTTTACCGTACAATTAAACAATTCAATAAACCATCTACTCATTAATTGCATTTTTTAGTTGTTTTTTTTTCTTTTTTAAGCTAATAATAATATTTACAGTTCATAATAAATAAAGTTTTTCAGCAATGTGCATTTAATTTATTTAATAATATTTTAAAGAAACTTTTAATGTGAATATTATTAAGTTATTAATTCAGTATAACTTATCTTAACACTTAGTTGTTAAATTTTCTTGAAACCCTTAGCTAGTCTATAAAAATAATAATGATAAATAATTATTTGGTGAATTTTAGTTTTAATGCAGGTGCTACAGATAAAAATTTGATTTAAATAATTGAATTTTTCAGTCAAGTATTCAATGGCTGTAGTTTTAATTATATATAAATAATTGAAATTTTTAATATTACTTGAATTATTACATTCTGTAAATAAAAAAAAAAAAAAAAGTGTGAGGGAGTGAAAAGGAAGATAATGTCCCAAACTACCAAAAAAATAAATAATTTTTATGCATGATTAGTAGGTTATTAAACTCAGTCCTTTGCTCAATAAGCTTTTAATTAGTTTTGGAAAAGTTTTGCTAATTATTTTTTAAAATAATTAATCTTGCTTTATTATTAACAGTTAAATTGATCAAATACGTTTTACGCCATTTGAATTAATTGCATGTGTATGTGTGCCAGAATTTAATGAAATGGATAGTGTCAATTTATTAGAATTAATTAATTTTAAAAAAATATTGCCAGATACTTCTGAGTGCTTTATTAGCTATTAACTGTTATTAAGTTCTTAAATTTTGCTTTTATTATTATGGATAGCACTTCAAGACTCAATTTAGCTGTTAACTATTATGAATTATGAACAAGTCTTTACAACGTAGTCTTTTCCTATCAAAATCTGGTATTCTTTCTCATCTGCAGTATCTGTTGTATTTTATATTTACTATCACTTATAGTTTTGTCAATTTTATTTTTCCTGTAAGTACTATAACTTGAGAAAGGATGTATTCTAATAAGAAAAGTTTAAGCTTTGTCCTAAAGTTTGTGCTTTGTTCCTGTTTTATATTTCTTGGAACAACTTCAGTTTCGTGTTTGTAGTCAAATCCATTTGATGGATTAATCCAATTTTGGTAACATTTTAAAGGATTTTAGTTAGACCCTCAATGGATCTGTTCCAGTTTTTTCTTATTTAACTTTAATATCAACCTTTTATTATTGGATTAATAAAAAATAATATAAATGGTAATCTTGACAATTTAATCTTAATTATATTTAAACGTAATTCAGTGACAAAAAATTAAGATCACTAATAAATATATATATATATATATATATATATAAATTAGAAGATTATATCTTTCAATCAATGCATTTATTTTCCACCTCCTCCTCGCTTTTTGGTCTGGATTTTTCTGGGCCAGAGGAGGGGGATTAATGCCAGATTTAAAAGCCACCCTGACACTGGAAAGCAAACTCGTAATTATTTTATGTCTTTATAAATTTCGTTTTATTGTGTGGTTGGTTGTTAGGCAAGGCATATTTTGCACAATTTTTAGCTCACTCGGCCACTCCACTCCCTAATTATTAATGCTAATATTTTGTAACATTGGAGATTTAAGAAAAAAATAAAATGTGAGTCTTAACTTACTGCTATGCTGCTCGACTTTGCCCTCATGCTACTAACTGATCTTAGTTTACTATTAAAGTTTCAATTTATTATAAAATTATGCATCGTTTTTTATTTGGTCATATTCTTATTAATCTTTCCTCCTTATATTAAGTTACAAGTTTTAAAAAGTATGATTTACTTCTCTTTTAAATGCACAAATATGTGCTGATAACATGTGTAAACTAAAATTATTAATGCTAGACACCAGTATAAAAATTTCAAACCTTATAGAAGGTTATAGATTAGGTATCGGTGTCCCAAAAGTTGGTCAAAAATATAACTTGTGGAAGATAACCATACGTACTGTAGCAGAAAATAAACAATATAGAAATTGTAATTTTACAATCAAGAAAAGTAGTGCAAATATGTAAGTCATTGGTAAAATCTTTTTCTATATGCATATAAATGATTTCAAAATGAAATATTTTGGAAATTACATATTATAAATAGTTATCGAAATCTTACAACAAAACTTACGTTAAACATTTATATGTTTATAATAATTTTTTTAATTCTAAGAAAGCTACAACAAATTATACAACCAAGCTATTAGGATATTGTAATGAAGTTAAAAAAATAAGAAATATTTTATAGAAATTTTACTTTTATTGCGAATGGCTGAGGAAAGTATTTTAAATGTTATATGACTGTAGTGATATTCAAAGCTATAAATTTTAGCTATTACAGCTATTATCATCTATTAAATTTGAGAACAGTTTCATTGTTTTCCTTAGCTTTGTTACTATAAATGCATTAGTTTTAGCTTTCTTATTACCAATGGTGGGGAAGTTGGATATTCATGTCTGGAGATTAGAAAAACAATTGAAGTTACCGCTCATAAATTGCATTTTAGACATGAAAAAAATTTGGGTCTAGTCCAATCCATTTAACTGGAATAAAATGCACTATCGTTATTCAATTTTCAAATTTTTAGGAGTTGGTTCATATATGCCCTTTCTTGTATATATTTAATTAAGTTTCGTCAACTACTTTAGCTTATGCATGCTCAAATGTATTTCCATGAACTTATAATTCAAGAAGAGTTCATTCAATTGGTCCAAAATTGGGGATTAGTGAAAAAATGATCCAGTATTAATTTTGTTGTATTATGTCCCATAATTTTGCAGTTGGAGAGAAATTATTAATTAATAAAAAAAAATTATTTTGGATGCATAAAGTTCATTTAAAATTAATGTAATTGTTTGAACTATAATGGCTGTGAAATGTGGTAAAACATCAACATCCATTTGTTGTGTGATTTTTTGTTTTCATTCTCTGCTGACTTTTGTATAAAAATGTGTCCTGGTTCAAGTTAACAAGCAGTATTACATTTAAAAAAAAAAAAAAAAACAGCAAATTTCTTTTTCATTTTTCACTCCATAGAAATAGTAAGAAAGCTATACCAACCTCCAACCTATGTGGTAGATGGCTGTTTATTTTTTATGTACTTTTTTAGAACATCAATTAGCTTCAAGTGTCTAATCAGTTGTCTAGTTTTAATTCCTTGAAGCATATATTTGGCAGAGAAATGTTTAATTCATAAAACATCCTTGCTTTTTACTTAAAATTTTTCTTGATATAAATTAATAATAGCGTTTGAAATAATGGTAATGGAGAGGTTTGGCTTGCACTTTCTTACTAAACCAACTCTTACTTTACCTGTTAAAAGAAAACGAGTTGCTGATCTAAGGCAGGGAATAAAATTGGCTCCTTTACCATATTTAGCTTCCTAGATCTTTCATGGTAGTTGTAAAATTGATTTATTTATGGATTTTTTAACAAATGTATTTACATTTCAATATTTTTGAGTTCTTGATTCTTTTTCTCGAGTCCATCACAGCGTTCTATTGAACAAAAGAAAAAAATTATCTGCAAGAGGTCTTTTATTTTTGAACTGTACAATATTTTTATAATAAAAAATAAACTGCAAATATAACATTATTATTGATCGATATTTAACAGTACTATCTCATTAGCAAGAAATACATTCCCATTTTAAATCAGTTACCATTAATTGTACCTCCATTCAGTCAGCATTTTTTTGTTTTTTTGAAGTGTTTAATAAAGAATAAAACTAAAAAAACAGTTGTTATGAAATATTAAAAGTATTGGAAGAGATCTTAAGCTTTTGGCATTCTATTTCATCTTATTTTCTTGTTTAAAGTAATCAATGTTTTTAATTTTTTACTCTTAATTTGATGGATAGCTTTTATATTTTATCACATTTCTAGTATTAAGTTTCATGATCGCTTTCATTGTTACTCTTGTTTCAATCACTTCAACCTAGAAGTAATGATTTCATAATTCGTCTTATTTAAATTCGTTTTGATAATAGGCCGCAAAGACCAGAGGAAAGGTGACAGTGATAGCAGTAGAAGCAGTAAAACAAAATCTGGCAAAATCAAACGTGATCAAGAAGAATGGGAAACTACTAGTGAAGGAAGTGATAGCGAAGCCAAAGGAAAGCAACAGAGGCTACTGAATAAGAAAAACACTCAAAGGTTCGTTAATAGTTTTTATTTTCACTTACATTAATATGTAATACATAGTAAGGGAAAGTATTGTAATCATGAAATATTTTAAATCTGAATTTTCAATAGAAATACACGTTTTGTGGTACTCCGAGTCCAAATAACCAAGTCCCACAAAATCGTCTGTGTGTATGTTATCAGTCTAGCTCAAAAACGAAAAGTCGTACGAAACTGATATTACATATTTAAGATAAGTATATGCCTTAGATGTGACAGCAACTTTTCCATAAAATCGGCTTACCAGAAGTGCTACTTTATATCAATGCTGAAGCACATTTTTTTCAATTTTCTTAAAAACAGATCTAACGATTTTGATTAAACTCGGTGCATCATAGTATAATTAAGTCGTCTTTATATAATTTAGGTCTTATCCCCGTTGATAAGACTATTGCTTAAGGTAAAAACTATTGCTTTTCTTTAGAAATGTGTTGTAACCAATTTATTTTTCAAGCCAAACTTTATTCAATTATTATTTTTGACACTATTTCAAATATATTGCGAAGATTTAATGTAAGGTAGGCAGTATTGCATCTTTTAAAAAATATTTTGGTCAAGTTTGTCTTCGTTAATATCGTTTACGTTTATTGTGGAACAGGTTAAATAATGACAAGAGAGGACCTTTTAATTCGAGTCAAATAAATGGTCGACCTAGTCGTCTTGAAGAAGCTAAAATTGATGACAGGCTGAATAAAGAAGATGATGATAATCAGCACCTCACTAACCACACAGATGTCTATCATACAAGTATGTACTCTTAATCTATGTTTTAGTGTTATATAATATTTTTACTAGGAATTGCGTAATTCCTTTTTTACAAAATTGCTATTTTTTTATCAAGAGATTTAAATAACAATATTCCTCATAAAATATTGTTCCAAATCTAATTTGCTTTTGAAAAAGAAAAAATGTATACAATTAATTAACACTTTAGTTTTAAAAAATTGTATTTCTTATTGTACCATGAAACAATCTCTATTGTTTTATTTCGTTACAATTGTGATTCATACAGTTGTGTACTTAAAAGCCCTTATAGGTCACTCAACTGTCTATTTATTTTTTTTTAAGAATATCATGTTGTTGTGTATATATTTATAAAAATGTTGTTCCAGATAATGGTTTTCAAGAAGTAAGGAGTAAAAAGACCGGGAAGGATAATAGACCTTTAAGCAAGGAAGAGCTAAAAAAGAACCGAGGTAAAGATAATAAGGGTAAAGGTCCTCAAGGTGGAAATTCCAAGGGTTCACAAGGTAAATCTTTCACTCGAGAGTGGAGCAACAAACCACCTAGAATGCAGAGGATGGCTGCATACCTTCAGCAACAACAGCAACAGAGTCATCAAGAAGTTTCTGATATGAACAAACTCAACAACCAAAACATCACTATGTTTCCAATTCGAAGTTAGTTTTTACTTTTTTTATTTGTTTATACATTTAAAAAAAAAAATTATGTCTATTTAACATGTTCTTATATTTCAGCTGAAGTAAATTGCCCTGCTCCTGCACCTCCTCCGCCTGTGAATGCCTGGGACAAACCAATAACCGCTGCTCTACGAACAACGCCGCCTCCTGCTAACCTTCAGCACCTAGCCCCTTCTATTGCTAATTCACAGGATAAAAAGTAAATATGTTTTTCTTTTAAGAACAATTAAGGTATTTTGTAATTAAAGAATCATGAATGATATCGTACGTATGAAGAAGTCTTCCTTATTGTCATATTGTTACTGTCCGCTCACTAATTTATTTCCATCCTCCCTTCCCTCTCAGCAACACAGATATTTGGTAGAAATATTGAGTTTCTTCTACCACTTATTCTCTAATTTTTTTTTTTGCTTTTCTGATTATACTCCTCTAGCATGAGCACTTTTACTCATTCTGAAAAAAGAATCAGAATTCTGTATAAGGACTTAATTTAAACTTTTAAGGCTCAAGGACACGGAACGTGATTGGTTTTTGGCTAGAAGTTTAAAAATTCATTGTTCAACTTTTTTTAAAAACGTTTGCTTCTTTTATTTATCTTCTTTTAAAGGAGTACATATAATTGTAATAAAAATAATTAGTAATTGTTAATGCTAAATTTCACCACATTCCTTGCATGTGCTTTCTTTAACACATCTTTATGTAGTTCGTGAGAAGTATTGTACTAATGTGTTTTATTTAATTTGTTTCTTTCATGGCTCCAAATTTATTTCTCAAATTGTCCAATAATTTTGTACAAACGGATTGCGGATTGGCTTGTTGCTGTAGGTTGTGTTTTGTGTAACTTGTATAATACAGTCAATATTTAGAAGTTCTTTTTATGGCAAGTGTACATATGATAATGCAAAAAGTTGCATGCATGGGCTCATCCTGATAATAATTAAAAAAGTATTATGTCCTTTATTATTGTTATATTTTCTATAAAAGGTGAATTATAATTTATTTATTTAAGAATAATATTCAATATTTAAAATGCAACCTCAGTATCATATAAGAGGATTCGCCTTGAAGAAATTTTGAAAACTAAGTTCAGGGAAATTTTCAAAAAACAATGCATTGATAACTTGTAAGAGCTTTATGATTTTACTACTTACATAAAAAAGATGATCGTATAAAGGATTAATATTCATTTTGTATAATTTTTTCATGATTTTAACACTACTGAGTGTGAGAACTCCTGATCATACAAGCCTCATCCTAACTTCTTTGAAATAATTTAGTAATAATATTTTTCAAAGTGATAGCTTGTAAGTAGTTAAGACAGTCTGTCTTCTCTCTTCCACTTTTTCTTAGCTCTACACCTTTGTTCCATAACTGGCCACAGTATATGTACCTTAACTGTTCCGATTAACTATTTTATATATTATGTATGTTTTAATTATTTAATTAATTATTATATTTTACAGTGTCATAGAACTGAACGATCATGGCCAGTCCGGAACCAGCAGCCAGACCAGTAGCCCTAGCGCCGAAAAAGCTCTTTCAAAAATGGGAAGAGAGGTAATAATTTATATATTTTTTTCTTTGATATAAAAACATCATTTTGATTTTGTATTAATTAAATCATTGTAATTTAGTATATTAAGTATAAATTTATTCTTTTTATCCATTTTTTTAGCACATTTTGAAATGACATTTCCTTTTTTTAATATTGATATCCTATTTATTGAATGATAAAATTTTATATATGAATATATTTATTTTTAATTCAAAACTGTCAGCTATATTAATTCTTTGATCAATAGATGTTTATGTAATTTTTTATTGTAATTATTCATTTATTAAAACAAATCCTAGGTTGAATAAACAAGTTCATATCAATCTTTATAGACTTGTATTTATTTATTTTATTTTTTTAAGTAAATTCGCATTGTTATAACATTTAAGGTGTTGTATTAATTTATTAATTCATTGAGACTGCAACCAGCTTCACCATGAATTTTATTTTATAAAAGTATGACAATGAAATTGAATTAATGGTAAAGCTTGTAGCCTTAATTTATTATTATTAATTTTGCTTATTTGTTTATTTTGTACAAAACTTTGTTTTATAATTAATAAGAGATTTATTAAGACATCACGTTATTGATAAAATTAATAGTATTATGTTGATTTATCTTATCTAAATCTTCTGTAAGACTTTCATTATAATGTGACCTTCTGAGTTATTTTTGTTAAGATTGAATAATAAGTTTAAACAGTTGTAACAACTTTAAAGGTATATTTGTTTTCTCCTAGCTATGTTATTGGGGTTTGGTGTAGAGTACTCTCTTTGTCCAAGATTAAGATTGTATTTGGTTGATTTGCACAACAATTTTTTGTTGATATGTCCATTTTATTTATTACTCTCACATCTTAAGTAGTATTAAAGAAAAATTATAATCTTTTTACTAGGTAGTTTGCACATTTTTACTCCCAGTTCAAAATGTTCTCATAAATAAATTTTTGAATATTTATGTTGAATATTTGTTTTCAAGTAAAAAATTTGTCTGTCTGAAAGAAACTGAAATCTTTGATCTTAAAATATTTTTTTTAATGACATGGTATGTTTATTGTTGATTCAAAAGACTTTTTTGTTATATCTTTTGAACTCTTACTTTACAATATTTTTGTAGGTTTAGAAAATTAGTCCTTTTAATATTTAGTCATTGAATATTGAATTGAAGATACTTTTTAACAAGAATAACTTACATTTTTTTTCTTAGAATCCTTTAGCTTCTGAACCCCTCTATCTCAATTGAACATTATATCAACAATTTTTTAAAGGTTTTAAAATTATTTTTCATAATAACTTGGACTTCATGTCAATATTTCCCCTTTAATTTTTAGATTGATATCACAGAATAATTGATTAATAATAAAGACCTTTAATTTTGATTCATGTCATCATTTTTTATTTCTTCTTTTTATCTAACTTTTCATTTTGATTTAATTGACTATTTTTTCTAAAATTTAACCAACTCATAACATGAAATATAAAGCATTAATTTTATGAATTAATATTTTAAATCAGAAAGAAGTACGTGGTTAATATTCTAATTATTACTTGGTGGGATTTTTTTTTTTTTTTTATAGTATTTCTCACCTTTTTTTTTTATCATGTTATGGGTTCAATGCTCGTCATGATTTTTTTTTCTTTTTCTAACCATGTTTAATGTTTTAAAACAAATTTTAGGCTGTTGAAAAATCATTATTGGACGGAAGTACACCTCCGGTACAGACAATTATTTTTGAAAATACTAATTACAAAGTAGCCCCGAATGATATGAACATGAAACCTAAATATCCTCTTAAGGGCCAAAGAATAGATAAAGGAAGAGGTAATTTATATGGATTATATCTCGGATAGTGTTTGGCTTATCCTTTTAGTTTTGATCAGTTTGATTTATTGAGTATCATTCATTTTTTAGTTGAACGTAAGTTAGATGAAGAATTGGAAGATGGAGCTCATTTGGGCTTGGGTTTTAAACCAGGTAATGAAATAAAACCTGGCGAAAGTAAACCTCAAGAGCCTATACAAATGCCTATGTCTTTCAGTAAGGTATGTGTTCTCTTTCAGCTAAATTTTAAATCAGTTCTTCATTTTGTAATTCAATAAAAAAAATTCTGTTAGCAGTTATTCATTTTACAGAAAAGTAATTAAGGATTTTTTAAATTTAAAGTAATAAATATCTCAAAATTTCAAAACAGCCTAACATGCTCCGTGGTAATAATCCATCCTTGGTGAGAGACTTAATTTCTTAGTGCGATACCTACACACCCTTTGCTTTAGAAGTAGAGAATTATTTCAATACTAATTATACTCACTTTATTTGATGGGTTTAATGTTTATTTTAAAATAAGCCATTAGTACAGAAATTTTTAGTTAATATAATGACTAAGTGGTTTCTTTGACTTCATATTGATATGCTAAGAAACTTACAGAATTCCAAATTTATTTTCTCGCTAATGTAAAGTTTTATTTAAATTGTTCTGTCCTATTGTTTAAATGACAACATGATATACAAATTATACACATGACCTCTCATTGTTATTAATATTAGTCCTGTTGATTAAACGATCATCCTATTAATTTTCTTCCTCCGGCTAAATTTCAATTTAATTGCATTTGATTCCCATAGAAACCTGCTACCATTTTTCAGTTTTATTGTTGATAGTCCTGATAAGGGATTAAGTAAGATTACCCAAGTTGTAAGGGTTTAAAATGAGTTTTCTGAAATAGTTTTGAATAACTTTGATTTAATATCTCTTACTTCTTTAAGTAATACTTAGTTCAGTTAAAATTTTATTAGGTTATGAAACTATTCTTCATAAGTTAAAGATAATGAATTCTTTAAACTAAAACTAATATTTGTACATCAAACGTGTTTGTTAATCCTAAAGATAATTTTGTAGATTTGGTCGAAATGATGATACCTGATGACGAGTCTCAGGCTGCAGGTGTAGTGTGAATATTTGAGCTTTTGGAGTATTTCCAATTGCTCAATCATCTATTCTAACTTTCTTGCTTGCCTATGGTGAATTTGGCATCTGATCGACTTAATGTAATCTATTAGGGTGAAAAACTTTTAATATACATCGACCAACAAAAAATTGTTAGTAAAATATAGTGATATGATCGTAATGCGTTAGCAAAGAAAATGTCTCTGAGCAGTAGGGCACAAGTATCTGATGTTCTTCCAACTCTCTCCCTCCCACATCTTACTGATTTATATATATCTAGTACATAAAATAACTACAAAGAATAAAAGAAGGAGCTAGTGTAGATTGGTAGTTTACGGCATTTCAGCACCATTCTCTTTGTGAATATTCTTTGTTGCATAATAATCTCAGACTAAATATCTTATTGAAATTTACATTAATATTGAGCCATAGTATTGTTTTTTCTAATTTGGAATATATTGACAAACATTTTTTAAAAATAGCTTATTTTATTTTAATCGAATATTTAATAGTTAACCGTTGCATTATAAAGGAAGGAGATGGTCCGGGGTGGCGATCATAAATAGGCTAAATAGTGGTAAAACTATTTTATTAAAAGCCTACGTTTCAGTTCTAAGTCAAACTCCTAGCTGAACACACCTCCCTGAAGAAGACCTGCAAAGTCGGGTCGAAACGTTGACTTTTAATAAAATAGTTTTACCAATATTTAGCCTATTTGTGACCATTTCCTTCCTTTATTTTATTTTAATACTAATATATCACTTTGTTTTTATGAAGCAATATCTTGTTCAATGGAATTGATTACTTGATAAATCCTGAATTCATGGATTTCTCAAGTAATCTATTTCATTTCTTTTTTTTTTTTAATTCTTAATTATATTTTTCAAATGAAATGTTTTAAATCAAGTAAGGTGCTTGCTTTTTTTCATCATTACAAAATGATAATAATGTTAACCTAGAAATTTGATTAACTTTTATATCTATTTATATCAGATTGTGTTAAAATGATGAAACTTGATGACGAGTCATAGATGTTAAGTATTTATTTGATATTTTGTGTTGTGAAGTAATTTCGCTTGCACAAAAATATCAAATTTTGCCTATTTTTCATTGATGAATTTGGCTCTGATTAGCACAATACCTTTTTATGAACCTAATTAAATAAATATTACTTTATTTTTTTGTTATTTTTTGGATAGCTTGTTAGCTTAGTACTTATTAAAATTGTAATTTCAATATAATTGTTGTTAACTTTTAATATGCTATTTTATATATATTTCAAAAAAATTACAGAACTTAACATCAACTTATCCTACTTCTAGTATTGCTGATATTTGTTAAAGAATAATTGTGTTTTAGAGTGAAGATAACGCAGATATGAAGTTGGATTTCGCATTTGATTCTGATCTGTCCCAGTTGACCGACGACAAGAGCAATATTCCTCGATCAATTCACCAAGTCCTAGGTCAAAATTCGGCTGCAGATTTGAATCAGAAGATAGCTTCTGTAAAAAAGGTAATTAAACATAATCTCTTATTGTCTGAAGTACAGACCCATTTTTATTAAATTATTAACATCCCCCTGAAATTTTGTGAATAACTTCATCTCATCGTAACCTACAAATATTTTATTTGTTATTGAAAATTCTTGGAATTAAGGAGTTTTCAATCTGGAGATCGGCAAACTTTATCTATTTAATTAGGTACTAAAAACTCAGGGATACCATTTGCTTTCCATTTCAATTGTAAGACCACAAAAATAAAAAAAGTGGCCTACAAAAATATTTGGTCTATATAACTTTGTTATTTTGACATTCTGGAGGTTTATTTCATGCCAAACGGCTCAATATTTTTGAAGGCCTGCTTTTTTCTTGTCTTTGTGCTCAAGTTATCTTACGATTCAAGTGGAAAGCAAATGGGTATTTATGAGTTTTTAGTATCTAATTAAATAGACCAAATTCCGAGAATTTTCGTAAATAAAGTATTTGTAGGTTATGATGAGATAAAGCTATTTACGAAGTTTTAGCCGGATGTTAATAATTTGATAAAAAGGGGTCTCTAACATGGACTATAATAAAGTCCTTAACTGTAATGTTAATGTTAAATGTAATGTTATTTTTCAGCATCATAGCTGCACCCATTTTTAAAATCTTCAGTTCCCTCCCAAATGTTAGGAAATTACTATTTTTTACTTTGAAAACTTAATGATTTTTGATAGGTTGCATTTTCTTTGAAATCTTTTTTTAACATTTATATTCTTCCACCTATAAATGGCACCCTTTTCATTTATTTTATCTCTTGCAAGTCCTAGAAACGTTTAATCACTTTTTCTCAAGGAAGGAAAATCATCTTGATATTACTTCATTTTACTTTTCTAAAATGTATACACATTAGGTTGATATAAATAATAATAATGTATATACTTACATATAATATATACATACACATTAGATTGTTTTTTTTTTCATTTTTTTAGAAAAAAGTTGTTTATTTGGTGTCTCCTATTTATTTATTTTTTAATAATTTAATGTTTTGGATTAATTGATCAGGCTAATTATTTTTACATAGTTATTCTTATGCATCACACTAGTCAAAAGCAAAAACTGTTGTTTTTTTTTTGTTTTTTTTCCTGTTCTTCCCTTCCTCGCCTTTTAGGCTATACGGGATTTTCCCGGACCAGAGGGTGAGGGCGGGGAATAAAAATCCTCTCTGGGACCGGGACGCGAACTCGTGACTATTTTCATATCATCGAATCATATATCCGGTTGCCGGGCAACGGTGGTGCAGTGCACACGCGTTAGCCCATACGGCCACCCCGCCCTACAAAAAAAGAGCAAAAACTTTATTTTATCCATTGATTATTAATATTTTCTGTGGACTACCTATTTTCATGAAACTTTTTAATTTTTATCTATCCAAATTATCTCTCCCTGCGGATCATTGTCAATATATATATATATATATATATATATAGTATCAATAAAATATATAATGTAATATAAATGTTAGGTAATATAATATTCTTAATCTAGAAATTGATTAACTTTTATTATCTCAATTTAGATCAGATTGTGTTAAAATGATGAAACTTGATGACGAGTCCTAGATAGCGGGTAGTAATATGATATTTTTTGTTGTGAAGTATTTTCGCTTGCAAAAAAGTATCAAATTTCACCTGTTTTTCATTGATGAATTTGGCTCTGATTAACACATCTAATGATTTTTTATTAACTAAATTATATATTTATATTATTTAGGTCTTATATTTTTTAAGGGATATAAAAATCAATATTCTTCTAATTGTATGATTCCATCTACAGGTTTGGGAAACACCTGGTTCAATGATGGAGCACCAGCACCATGACGAGGTTGTATCCACTTCCTCATCGTTTACTCCAAATTTTGGTTCTGCTGTCGATACATCATTGGACCATTCTTCAGTTCATCAAGTTGATGATACTTCTTTCACTCCTGATGTTTATGCGTAAGTTTTTTCATAACGTTTTATTTTTTTCTAGCCTTGCCTATCAAATTATATAAGGATTTTGGCATTTGTACAAACATAACAGAATAACAGATTTTTCTTTATAAATATCCAATCTATTCTACCTGAAGACAGGTTAATTCATTTTGTGGACCTCCCACAAAATAAGTATCAGATTGGAGTAAACTTACTTTGCTTACGTACAACCTTACATGTAATAATTAAAATAAAATATAAAAAAACCTCTAAAATTTATCTTCAATAGAATGAATCTCTGTCTATCTTTGTAACTCTGTGTTATATATTGCAATTAAATTTTTTAGTAAATATTTATTTTGACCTTATAATTAACTAATCAAAATGCATGAAAGTAAAAAATTGAAATGAGGTTGCAATTTTTTATTAGTAGAAGCTTCAGTTGTTGACCTATTTATTTCTCACTCTGAACATATTTCTTATTTGTTATAATTAAGAATTTTATTTTATGTTATCTTATTTTTTTTTTATATTGCGTTTCAGGCATCAGAATCCTGCAAATCGAACCAACTACTTCATCATGTTAGTAATCACTTCTATATAAAAATTTAATATCAATATATTTATCGTGTATATGTGAGATTTATATGTTGAGATTTTGTTTTAGTGCTGGACCTCAGATGCAAGGCAGTGCGCCAGGGTATGCAAGCGGTGGTGCCAACATAATTAAACAGGACCCATCAAATGCAACCAGCAATGTATGTAAGGTAAATTGTCAATAATGTTGAATTTTTCTGTGATTTATACTTAGCCTATCCTATCACCTTCAAAATTGACCAGTTCTAAATTTAATTAATTGGTCATTTTAATTTTTTGTAATACAAAAAATATATAATTTAATATAAATGTTAGCTAATATAATATTCTTAATCTAGAAATTGATTAACTTTTATTATCTCTATTAATATCAGATTGTGTTAAAATGATGAAACTTGATGACGAGTCCTAGATGGCAGGTAGTAATATGATATTTTTTGTTGTGAAGTATTTTCGCTTGCAAAAAAATATCAAATTTCACCTGTTTTTCATTGATGAATTTGGCTCTGATTAACACAACTAATGATTTTTTATTAACTATTAATTTTTTATCCTAAGAATATTTCTTTAATTAAAATACAATTTTAAAGAAATTAAAATTAATTATTGCAATTCGTAAATTATTTTTGGTTTACATATTTATGAAACAAAATTTTTGGTTTACAAAAAAACATTCCATTTATAAATATTCTATATGAATTCTGTTTAGTTTCTATGAAAACATTGAATTCGCATTCAATAATATATTAACTATAACAATTATTATCCATAAGATTTTTGTCACTCTCCCTACCTTCTAAAACCTCATATGCTAGATATTAATTTTTCTGTAATCTTAAGCTTTTCAACCATACGTAATACATTTCGTACATTTGTACATTTTTATTATAATTTCCTTTTTTTTTCTCCAATCCTTTTGTTAATTATCGAATTCTTTCATAGTTTATATTTAACCATTTCTTATTATTACTAACCAAGAAAAACTTAATTATTAAAAATAGATCTTAATGTGCTTTAGAGAAAGCCATTTTGAAAATCCGCAATTTAAGTCCAGCCAGGCTATTTCAATGAGGATAAGATAAGACCTATTTGATATTAAAAACAATTATTCATACATTAGACAAGTTTAATCATAATTAAGGCTTTTTTTAGAAAATATCAAATGTATTGATTATGTAAATTAGCTAAATTTATTATATAAAGTTGCAATTTTAGTTGGTCGATTTTGATGAAGAAGTTGCCTTATGCATGTCTTGAATACGTTATTTCAGATTCATGTGAGTTATCATTTTTGAGCTAAGCTGTTCTCATGAACACAAACCTCAAAACATTTGTATTTCTATTGGAAACTCCTATTCAAAATTTTTCATGATTGGAGTACTGTCCTTCACATATAGCTAAGTGAAAGTAGAAAAATAGTTAGATATTTCCTACACAGTTGTGTTATTTTTCTATATGAAATATTCTCTGCAATACTTGGAAGTATAAGAAGAATAGTCTTTTTGATATTTTTTTCATAATATTGCATACACATACTAATTTTTATAATTTAGCGGTTCTAGGAACTCCTTAAAACTGTCACATGAAGTTTTAAAACTAAATTGAAAAATTCGCGTCATATGCGCGCGTTACCATGACCAATACTGTAAGCTATGGGTCTCCCAACTTTCTGCCCCTCGGACCACACGGAGACCTCCGCTAAGTCCCACGGGCCGCGTTAAGAGTATCCAGTAAGTTTCGTGGGCCTTGATTGATTGTGATGAAGGAAAAAAAGTTTGTTCTTTAAATTATACTCATGCAATATATGTTGTAGTAATCTTGTGTGTGAGTAATTAGCTAAATTTTAATTATTAAATTAAAATTTAACTTTTAACTAAATTTAAAATTTTAATTAAATTTAACTATTAAGTTTTTAAAATTTTACCATTTAATCAAAGAAACTTTCGCGGGCCTTAGTTTTGGAGACCTCTGTTCTAAACTGAACTGAAATTGATAAATCAATTTGTAATGTGAAAACCTTTCAAACCTTGATTTTCCCACATCCATCAAGCTTTTTAATTAAAATAATTCTTTCCTGCTTGCTTAAGCTATTTGAGGAATAATTAATTAAGATCAATAATAAATTTGTTCTCTTCACTTGGCTGGGTAATCTAAACTGTGTTGTTATACTATTCCAATTTTTTTTTTTAATTGTCGATAAGGTATTTGAAGATATAGCTGATTGCTTGGTGATGTCGCTTTCTTTCCCTTGCACCTTTATATATTGCATTGAAAACCTACATTTTTTCTGAACAATCAAAATCTTACACCATTAGAAAAAAACATTTAATGAAAAGTCTAGGTCTATGGGTGAGGAACCTGTTTCCTCCGAAGCAGCCCTCCGTTAGTTTTTGTACAATCTTCATTAATCTTGCACTATAATTAATTAATATTTACTTTAAAATGTGGGAGTGGGGTAGCTCAGTGGTAGGACACTGAGCTTCCAATGCAAAGGTCCCAGGTTCGAACCCCGGCTCATGGCAGAAAATTTATTTATCTGTTTCATTGGCCGTGGGGCGACCCCAGCCTCTATAAAGTGGGTACCCTTAATTAAATAATTAATTAAGGGGGAAAACCTGGCGGTTGAGCGTGATCTCGGTCAAATCACCTCCTTGCACAACCGTTGACCTAGAAACAGTGCTTTCCCTAAATAGTACTGAACCCCAGACCCTTTATGGGTTGTAGTGGTACAGGTTTTTTTTTTTTTTTTTTTTTTTTTTTTTTTTTTTTTACTTTAAAATTAATAGAATTAAGTTGAATTTATGCATGTAGGTTTATGTGTTATTGCTTATAAATAAAAATAGCAATAGTAAAATATAAAAATTTATTGAGGCCTCCATTAGCATTAGTTACATATTGGATCTGTGGCTCTTGAGTTGTAGAGGTGCAGTTTTAACTTAACTAATAATATAGATTTTCCATAGTCCCTCAGAACATAGAAAACTGGTCCAAATAAGATTTTAGTTTGTTATTTGTTATTCGACTTTGAGATTTATCAATAACGCCAAACTCAAAAGACAAAACACCGAGTTTGATAAAAATAGATCAATTGGGAGTCTACTATATCAAGTGTTTCTTCATGAAATTTTCTATCTAAACCAGATAATTCCTTATTTAATTGATAATATGAATATTATGTTAATAATTGGAATTAGATTATTTTAATATTAAAAACTATGTTGCCCTTGCGAATAATTAGTATAGTATATTTGTCAGAAAATAATTGACAATATAGAATAGAATAGAATAGAATAGAAAAATAATTTTATTCTGGGACGAAGTCCCTTCAGAATAACAAAAAAGTACAGAAATTAAAATTTTACATCTGGCCAGATAAAAACAAACATAACAAATTAAGATAATGATAAGTCATTAAAGAAAAGAAAAGAAAAAAATATTGGTTATACATACTATATACAAAATAAAATATAAAAATCTATATAAAAAACTCTTGAAACCATACTAAGATATTTAAAACTATGTACGATGTTAAAATATAAATAAACCCTTTTAGAAAAAAAAAAAATACAGAAAAAATAAATGTATATTCTTCTTAACAGTAAAATCTGTTTCTGTTTAAACAGAAAAAAAAAAAAAAAAAAGAGAAAAAGAAAGTCGAATCTATAATAAGTATTCAGGTCATGAGCTATATGTGAATATGGTCTTATATATAATGTGTAATTTTACATAAAAGATTAGCTGGTGCCTGACTGTTTTTGGGACAGGAATTGGAATAGGAGGGTTTTGAATGTAGATAAGGATGAAGAATGTCGAATTTTGATTGGAAGGGAATTCCAGAAACTAACAGAACGTGCAATAAAGGAGTTTTGGAACGAGGCAGATCTGTGAGAAGGAATGTAAAGGTCGGAAGGTCGAGATCTTGTGGAGAGGGAGTGGACTGAGGACTTGAATTGGAGAAGGTTGTAGGCGTAGGAAGGACGATGATTGTTGATGATATGATAGAGGAATGTACCTAGGAAATATTGTCTTCGAATGGAGGGGAAGAGCCACTCTAACTCAGTGTAATGGTGAGAGACATGGTAGTATCTCGGGGCACCAATTACAAATCTCACGCAACTGTTCATTATTCTTTTCAGTCTGTCGCGGAGCTCCACCGAGAGTCCATCATACACCACACAGCAGTAGTCAAAGTGGGGGAAGATGAGAGAGGAAACGAGGAGTCTGCGCGTATGTTGAGGTAGGAGATGGCGGAAGCAATGGAATAGTTTGAGGGTAGAGACTGTCCGTCGGGAGATGTGAGAAATATGGCGACTCCAGGAGAGGGTTTGATCAATAAATAGTCCTAAATTTTTTACAGAGGAGTAGAAGGAGATTGGCTGGTCACCAAGGTTTAGTATGGGAAAGTCCGTATAGGATCTAAGGAGGGGCTTGGAACCAATGACAATGGCCTGAGTTTTTGAAGCATTTAACCTTAATCCGTTTAATTTTGCCCAGGCACAGATTCGATCTAGGTCTGCTTGGATCTTAGTAAATGCTACCAATAGCTCAGGGGGAGAAAAGGATAGGTATATTTGAGAATCGTCTGCATAAAGGTGGTGGGAACAATGGAGAATTGAGTCATGGAGGTCAAATATAATATAATATAGAAAGTTGGTGCGATGCATTATGAAATAGAGGCAAATAAAATTATTTCCTTTTTTCCTGTTGAATCACATTAGTTCATTCATAGCAATGAGTAAAAACATGTGTACATACCTATAGGCTTTTTTTTGCTAATAATTGTCTGATTTTTCATCTTTCAAATAATCATGGGTGCAATCAACAAAAAAATATTTATTTTTTGAGTTATTTGCAAAGTTTCTTTTCCTTCATAACGGGAATATTTTTCATAACTTTTTCCCTGAAAATTTCGAGAGGATGAAACTATAATTCTTCACTTCTCTTTGGAATCCCCTTTTTTTGATACTTTATTCATCAAAATCCATCGCTCTTGAGAGTCGGAAAAGGAAATACACTGAAAAAATACTTTATTGTATATAAAGATGGATGTTTTTGTTTAATCTTCATGAACATTTTTGTTTTAATGGATTATTTTTACTTTTGGGTTAATGGATTTATTTTTAAAGGTGAAGCCGCAGCCTCAGCAGGCAGTGATATCTTCTGCAATAGGAACACATTCCGGGGGACCTAGTCTCTCCTCTCCACCTCCACCTTTCTCCCAGCAGGGTCACTTCAATTATCAGGTATTTATTTGAGTACTTAATTTTTATGTTATAAGTTCTTTAACCATAAAATTTTAATCTTTATTAAATATATTTTTCTTTTCTTTCACAGACTCAGTATAGTAACATACCCGCTATACCCTCACCCCCGGCTGTCCTGATTAACTCTCCAGCTGGTGGGCAACAAGTTCCCCCAAGCCATCAAGGCGAATTGTATCATTCCTTCCCAATTGGGGGACCTACCGTAAGTTATTTTACAGCAATATTATATTATGTTATGTCAGATTTTGCCTATACCATCTACAATTTATCATTATTATGATTATATTTCTATATTATATTCTTAAATTTCATTAAAATCCACCATATTTTGTTACCAAAGAAATTATCAATATTGACTATACTTTAAATTTTTTCTTAATTAATTACTATATTACTTTAAGATAATAGTTGTTGCAAACAATAAATTATAGTAAAAATGTCTTAAGCACATCTAGGTGTGCTCAAAAAGGAACAGGAAATTATATATTTCACCTGTTGTATTAATTGGATTCGGGTAATTTTTCGTTGGTATGCTGTTATTTATTTATTTGGTATAAAAACAGAATAAAATTTAACAATTTTTGTGAATTGTTGAATATTACTTTTGATGAGTTTGCTATGAGTAAAACAAGGATTTACTAATAGTACAAGTGTTTCCAAGATGGCTGTGAAGATAATAACAATGAACATTCTGGAAATCTAGTACTTCATACCTCATGAATAAATGGAAAAAGTGACCAGGACTTATTGACTAATAGTTCTTCGTTGTTTACGGAAAGCAGTTCGAAGAAATGAACTGGATTTATGGTGAAACTATTCATGGCTGTTAGCACCTACGCACACTTCACAGCTTATTCGTGAATATGCGGTGGAAAATAACTCTAATGATACTCCAGCCTCCTTATTCACCTGATATGGTGTCTGACTTTTTCTAAAAATGGAAAAGAGCCTCAAAAGCAGTCATTTTTTCAAGCATCGGTGAGATTAAATTCTGATCCAGTTTCAGAAGTATTTAGGGGACTAGAGAAGCATTGGTATGAGCGAAGTAATAATATCTAGGGGAGAAGGGACTACTTTAATGGTAATATCGTTGTATATTAAATAATAAATAAAATAAAATTGTTTTTAAAATTGACGATTCTCATTACTTTTTGAACACACTCGGTATTTACCAGTCAGAAGGTAATAACATTAAAATTATTCTTGGATTGGCAATTCAAAATTAAATTGTGTTTTATAGGTAATAGGAAGTCAACAAGCTAGATCTGGTTTCTCTCAATTTCCTTATGGATTGGGTCAGAGCCTAGGCGGCACATCGGCATTTAGTCAGCAAAGCTTGTACCACTTGCCGCAAGCAGCTGTTCCGCCTAATCCACCTCCAGATGTCTTCCAATCAATATCTCAATATAGAATACAGGTATTTATTTAATTTATACTTACTAGGTTAATTTAAAATTTACAGGTTACAGGCTCCTGAAATCATGAAAAAAAAAAAAAATTTAATTGTGTCCATAGAATTAAATTATTTTATCTTCTTACCAATTAATTTATGGTCATAATTTATTTCTGGAACTGAACATCTATGGATACAATTTATTTTAATGTGTTGAAGTAAATTGCATCTTTTATTAGATTGCTCAAAAGATATATTTTTTAAAAAGAAACTCATTTTTAACTTTAGCTGACCGTCCAAAATCCCCAAACATGGTTTCATTTCCTTATCTAATCCTCTTTTTGTCCACCATTCATTTCTGTACTGTTACTTTTAACCTAAGAACGCTATGCTAAAAAGTCATTCCCTGAGTTTGTGTCTTGACATTCTCCATCTGTAATTTGAGAATTACAGTTCATACAATACAGACCTAAGTTCATTTTAACATAAACATCTTCCTGCCTCTTCAAGTTGTATGTCCTATCAAAAATATTTTAATTCATTCTTGCTGAATCCATTACGACCATATTCCCATACAACAACTTGATCAATGTTTTCTGGTCTTCCTTTCTTATATCTACTTCTCTATTGGCCTATTTATTCTTCTCGTTTTCTCCTCTGAATCCTCACGTTTGTCAAAATTTTCATTTCCACACCATTTAGGGTCACCGATTTTGCCCATTGTAGTGCCTTATTTTTTCATTATTTAAGAACCTGAGTTAAAGACATTTTCTTATAATAAAAATGAATACTATGAAAGCATATAGGCTTCAATGGAGGTGAGGACTAAATAATGTCACTATTTCTTGACTTTTTTTTATAGAAATATATCGGTTAGAGATAAACAAGGATTAGTATTTTTCTTATTAGGAAAATTAAAAAAAGAAAATTACCCAGTTTTTTATGGATCAATACATCTTATTGAGGTTTGCCTGCATATGTTATATTATAGCCCACCACATGTTAACGATTATTAAATGTTTTATAAAATGTATATTAGGACGAATATAAATTTGGAGAGCGGGGTAGCTTAGTGGTAAGGTGCTGAGCATCCAATGCTCAATGTTCCAGGTTCAAATCCCAACTTTATGATAGATTATTTATTCTGTTTCGTTGGTCGTGAATCGTCCCTGTGGTCGAGAGACCCTCCTGTGGCATACCTAGCCTCTATAAATATAAAGTGGATACCCATAGTTAATTAAGGGGAAAAACCTGGCGTTAGAGTATGATCTCTCCCAAGTCCCTTTATAGGTTGTAGTAGTGTAGGTTTACATTAGGGCTAATACTTGTATGAAAGTTAGGTTTAAAAGGATTTTTCATTCTTGTTATCATAGTGATGATCATGGAACAGATTTATGTATTTACATACTTTTTTCCAAGATTTTTTCGTCCTTCTTGGACATTTTATTTTATGTTTCATACAATTTAAAAGCATTATTTGTTTAAAGAATATTACATTTTTGAAGAATATCTAAGATCGTGTCCTATGTCATTTCTTCTACCAATTTTATTTTGTATTACTTTTTCTATTAATTTTATTATGAATTTATTTTGTTAAATCAATCTTGCAAGCCCAACATAAACAGATGTTCAAGGTTATTGCCATGGGAGGAACAGCGGGTCTTATTTTCACTCCAACCATAAATATTGCTGAAAAAAATTATTTTGATTAATAAATCTTTGTTAACTTTAAGAATTTATCCTGATATTACTTTAATTTAAAATGATTGTTAACAGCCGTCTGCCTATGGTCAATCTCAGCAGTTGAGTAACAGTCCTTCTACTGTTCTCATTACCTCCTCGTCTAATTCGTTGATGTCGGCTAGTGTCAAATCATCACCACAGCCTCCTCCTATTGGCGCCATCGGCTCAAAAGGTGCTTATCAATCATCAGCAGTCCCATCTCAAGTAAGTACTTTACTCTCTATATTAAAATACTGTGTCGTTTCATTTAATGAAGTTAACAGCTTAGTTACGTTATTATATTTGTATTATAACTTATTTCAGTATGTAATGATTAGATATTGTGGTTAATGGGCTATTTGCACGAATTTTCAATTTTTATTTACTAATCTAAATTAGATTATGACAGGAAAATGTATAAGACCCAAATTTTTCAGATGCCTAAAGGTGATTTAGTTGCAATAATAAAAAGTGGATGGCACAACAATCAATTTCTGAATCTAGGTCTCTGCCAATAGGTTCCGTCCTGTGCTGCAGATCCCCTATTTACGGTGTCAAGAAGCAGTGTAGTGTCTGCTTTCTCTCTATCTACATAAGCTAAATTAAATTTGCCCTAGAAATGTAGAAACAGGTGCCATGTTGTAAACGGCACACTCCTCTTTCACTTTATCTTCCTGATGAGCTTTTTCAAGTTAATAGCTAAATATGAACCTTTTTTTATTATTTAAAAGATGCAATTTCAATCACATTGTTTAATTTCATTTCATAGAAGTCAGTTACGGTTTTGAGAGAGATAAACTTTAACATACTTTTTTGTTAATGTTAACTTTATTTATCAATGTTAAATTCAATAAGTGCATCAAAATGACACAAATCATTTTTTGTACCTAAAATAGTCACTCTAAATGAACAATATTTTGATACCACAGAGATATAATTCATCAAATTATTTTGTTATCTAATTCTATGTAATGTTACTTATTGACTTTTTGCAATAAACCCACATTATATTTGTTATTGATCACATAAATTCTATTGTAGCACAGATTTTCATGATTATTTTCGATGGAAGTGCCCCATTAATTTAATATCAAAAATGAAAGTAAATAGCTTTCTCTTGAGGAAAAAATAATCATTAGCAGAATTTGTTTTTATTAATTATTGCTGGTGCTAACTTAAGATCAGTTTTAATACAAATCTTTCATAGTTCTTTTAGGCTAATCTACATATGAATACTTAAGTGTTTTTTTAAGTATTCATTATAAATTAACTACTAATAGATCTTTACTTTATTTTAATTTTACAGGTACAACTTGGATTCATCCCATATGATACTACTCCAATTCTACCTCAAAGTTTTCTGCAGAATTCCCAACTCGTTCAGAGGCATGGAGGAAACAACGTTGTTCCTACAATTCAGCCTCCAACATCATATTACTCAGGTTCTGCAGGTATTTCTTTATTTGCTTATAGTTTAAAAGAAAACACACCTCTATGCTTCAAATATAATTAATTTAAGAAAATAAAACTTCAATTTTTTTCTATTAGTTATTTTCAATGGTTCATATTTATGTTGTGTTCTCTTTCTAAATAGTTAATAAAATGTATCATATATGAGATAAGAAACTTAATCTTCAAACTCCTGTTAAGTTTTCCTTTCCTTTTTAGGCTTCTTGGCATAGCAAACCTATTATTTAAAGTACTTACAAATTTTGAATTTCTAAATCTTCTAAGAAGGAAATGGTAAGATTTTGTCTCTACATCTACCGGTAGGAAGATTCCCTCTATCATCTGACTTTCACGCCTCTATTGAAAATTTAGGAACAAGTCTCAGTGTTGTCAAGTTTTGTGGCTATTTAAAGGTTATCAATCAAGTTATGAGTGTTAAAATTTAGGAAGGTTTATTTCCGATAGTTGGACTTAAGTGAAAACAAACTTTCATTGTAACATTGATAAACTGTATTGGAACTATATAGTATAATTTTGGTCCTCCAAATAAATAAATAGTGTCTCAAGAATTTCATAATGAGTTAAAACTCATTTTTTAAAGTTTAAGCTAATTAATTGAATGACACTTGAATTGTTATGGACTTCCTCTAAAACTAAATGAGTTTTCGTCATACGGAATGATTTGTGAAAAAATAAATTTATATAAAATATTTGTCTTATATATCGTAAACTGTTCATAATTTTGTATTTAGATGTTTATATATCTTATGAAAATAAATTTAAATTTGTAATCTTGTTTATTTTTGTTTTATTTATTTCTTTTAAGTTTCTATTAAGTATTGCATTTATAATTTTATGAAAGAAAAATTCTCACTGTCTTGCATAACTGCTGTTAGTCAGTTAAATGCATAATTTTTATTGGAACTAGTGTAAATTAACTCCATGCATAAGAAAATAATTATTCCTGTTGAAAATTTCAAAGTGAAGGAACATGTAATTTAAAAAAGTTAATTAATTGTCGTATTTAGTTATAAAGATGGATTTAGCCTCCTTATATGGTTAACAATTTTCCTGAATATTATTTTGTCATTGAAGTTACAAAATTTTGTTAATTTAAAAACAACCGGTTAGTTACTGTAGTAAGACCTAATGTTACTTAAATTATTGAATACGCCTTCACTTGTCCTTTCTGTTTTGCACATACATATAATATCTATTTTTTTTTATTTTTTTTTTTACTTTAAGTTCATAATCTTGAATTAACTCTGTTCCTATTACAAGAGAAAGTACACATTTTCATAATTATTTATGTTGTGTTTTTATTAAACAATGTCATGCTCTAAATATCTCGGTAAATAAATTTTCTGATTTAAAAAATAAATTATTGACTACCTAACTTCTATTTTCTTAGGACTTTAGTCACTTGTTAATTCTTGTGATAATAGGAAAATAATTGTGAAACAAAACCAAGAGCTTATAAGTAAATATTAATTTAATTATAAGAAGTACAATTATTTGTGGACAATTCACATGTTTTCTAAATATTGGTTCTCTTGCTCCAAATATTAAAATTATAAAAAAAAATTACTGATTGATGAATTACTAAATTTAAAAAAATGGTAATCGGTTCACTACATTTCTATCATACCAATCCATTGAATGAAGAACTGCTTTGCTGAAATAACACTTTCTTCTTTAGTTCACTGCTTAAAAATGCACAGAGCTGGATGGAAGCTATAACTCTCACCGGACTGCTATCCTTTCAGAGTAGATTATGTAGGAAGGAGAGCTCTTATGGGATTATGGGGAACAGTATACTTCAGTAGTTGATGACTGTACTTAAGAGGCAATTCGACCTTAGGACCGAATTTTTAGATTTCGTACTACTTTCTCTACCAGTTATGTAGGGCATGACTTCAGTTTTTAAAGCTGGAATGGACTTGATACTTCAAAAATAAATATGACATCATTATACATTTGATGAGTATTGTATTGTGTTTACTGTTATTGAATACAAGAAAATAAATTTCATGAATGGAATTATATCATGGATCAAAACATTGAAATACCATATTTAATTATATACTATTTCATGTAAATTATACGTAACTGTTACAAAACAGCTGAATCTTGAAATTACTTCATTAATTTAATAAACACCATCAAATTCTTCTGTAGATATCTAATCAAAATTATAAATTTTAATAAACCATTCACCTTTTCATTAATTCCTTGTACTGATGAAAAGTTGTGACATCAGATACCAAATCTTCAAATATAAATACTAATTAACACCTTTATTTTAGCTATCTTTAGAAATGTGTTCCATTTTAAATTCCATTACTTACACAACTTGAGTCTACTAGCTATGCTTAAAAAAGACCTGATATTTAAAAAATCAGGGACATCTTGTGATAAGCTAAAATACTATTAAACGATATTAGATTTAATATATCGTTATTTAATAGTTTTACACCTTACACAATTTTTTTTATTTATTTTTTTTCAGTTCTCATCTGCAAGTGTGAAGCTATATTGTGAGCTTTCGACTTTCTCACATACTTGTTTTTCGTGATAAGCTGATCTGTGTTCCTGTCGATATTCTTTTAGCATTTATTGCTTCATACATTCAATAAATAATTTTTCTAAGGCGCGTGTTTTATTCACTTTTGTTATATATATTTAAATTACTAAAATATCACTTAATTAATTAAGGTATAATGATTTTAATCAAACTTGTGCATTTCAAAATCAGTTTTTTTTCTGCCTGGCACTAATGGCTCTAACGAATAAACAAAAAAATTGGTGTGGAAGTATACTGTAAATTTTTATCTGTAAAACAAGGTATCAATAAGTACTGACAAAATAAGAAAGAGGAAGAGAAAGATAAGGTAGAGTATCGAGATATTCTAGTTGCTAATGCAATTTGCCTTCTATTAGAAAAAAAAGTGTTTATAAATCATTCTTTAATTGTGAATAATTTGTTCCTTTATTTGGGCTATATAGTATTTTTAAATTCCCTTAAATAGGCAAAATCCTTTTTAGATAGAAATAAAAGAGAAAACTATCATAAAGGTTTCATTGCACCTTATGTCCTTAAATGGTGTTTCAAAATATTTTCTTAACTAGAATAATTATTGGATTTATTATACGTAAGGAAAATCGATTATGCCTTTGCTAATTATGAAATCATATCTTAGAGGTAAGTAAAAGAAATGAATTTTTTTTTAATTTAAAAAGCAATTATTTAAGGCCTTATTCTAATGCTTAAAAAATTAAATTGCATAAGTCAGTTAAATATGTTACTATAGGTGTACCAGACAGTTTTTTAGATTGTTGGAAATTGAAAAAAAAAAAATCTTGAAATTAGTAATTAATTTAAACAAAACGTATATTTACTTCCATAACACCAGTTTTTTGTGAAAAGTAATTAAATAATATTTGATTAAATTCAATCAAGTAACTGAATTCATTATCACTAGTTAATTGATGTCTTTTCTGTCCATAAAATTAGGATGTTAATTGTGGTAATTTAAGTTTATCTTTGATTAAGTACTGATAATTATATATATATATATATATATATATATATATATATATAATATATATATATATATATATATATATATATATATATATATTATTATTATTATTATTTTTTAGTTATTGTTAATTAAATAAGAAATCAAGAGTAGGTTAAAGATGGTAAAGGCATGTTATTTTTCAGGCACAAAATTACTTAGCTTGTGCCTTATTTCCGAAAACTTGTAAATTAGAGTTTACTATATTATTTCCTTCTTAAAGTTCTTTATGAATATAAAATTTAACAACATAGAGAAGAGCAATTCTTCAGGTTTGGGGAAAATAAGTATTGCATCGCATATAGTGGAACTTGTCTTAACGGATATTTGTCTAAAGCCGATTTCTCATTATAGTGGTTAAATTTATTATCCCCTTAAGCTTTTATGTAATCTTACTTACTTTAAATTTGAAAACTGGAATTGTTATATTTCAGCATTCTTGTTCACTTCACTTCTTTCATATCCCAAAACTCTGCAATGTCAAAGGATTTTTTTAAAAAAGTCTTTTATATCATTAAATAGTTATATTATTAGTCTTGTTCAACCTTTGACTTAAAAACCTTTAATATATGGAAATAAACACTCCACAGTGATACTTTGAGGATTTCTGCATAATGGATTTAAATAGGCTTCTTGATGTAATGCTAGGGTTTTGCTTGAAAGGCTCTACAATGGACAGCAGAAAACCAATTAGGCTCATAGCTTTTATTTTATTTATAATAGAATAATTAAAGTTCATTTATGAAATAGTTTGGTAGTAGAGATTATTGTTTCAATATTTCATTCTCATTTATGGACATGTCGACTCATTACTTGATTACTTTAAAAGAAATAAATAATACCTGCAAAATAATGTGATTAATATAAGTGCAGGTGAAATACTTAGTTTTGTGATATAATTAACTTAATTAGGAAAATACAGGTATGTGACATTTTAAAAGAGAAAAAAACGTTTACAACTTAATGTTTTGTATGTGTTCTTTTGTGATGCATGGTACCAAAAGTGGATTTTTACACTTTTTCTGAAACTGATGCTTCAATGAGGCCTTCTAGTTTCTCTAAGCTTTACATAGTACCAACTCCACTTCTATCAAAAATATTTTTCTTCATGAAATAGTGGATGAAAAGATTGTTCCACTTAAATTCAATTGGGGGGGAGAGGGCATTATTGTCAGTTTAAAAACAAATGAATTTGTGATGAATGAAAAATGAATGAAATGTCCAATTGTGATAGCAATTCCCTCGTTTATCATTCACATCAAGTAGAATTTTAATCTGCTAATCTTTATTTTCTTTGCATTTTTTCTTACAGCAGACAAAATTTGATTCCCTTTAGTTTTCTCCTATAGAAAAGTTTTTACTATATTTGGACCGTGGAATTTTATCAACTTTTCAGGTTTTTAAATCTTTTTTTTCTCTTAATTTTATTACATTAGAAGAAAAAAAAAAGAAGAGAAAAACGTTTAGTTAAAATGGTGATTGAAATGTGCAGGATTTAAGGATGCATCATATTATGCAGACCAGTGTTTTAAAAAACATTATTTTCATGTTTTCTGGTTATGATTGGATGAATGGATAAGTTGAAAGAATAGATTAAAATAATTGAGTTAAATAATACTTAGTCATTATTATATCATTGGTTGATGTAATTATGCTTAATTTTAGCTCATTAGCAATTTATAGTTCAAAATTTTATTTATAAAATTATTATATTTTTTTTTAAAAATATAACATATGTTAATCTTACTTACTTTAAATTTGAAAACTGGGATTGCTATATTTCACCATTCTTGTTCACTTCACTTCTATCATATCCCAACTCTGCAATGTCAAGAGTTTTTAAAAAAAAAGTCTTTTCTATCATTAAGTAGTTATATTATTAGTCTTGTTCAACCTTTGACTTATAAGCCTTTAAGATATGGAAATAAACACTCCACAGTGATCCTCCTATATACATCATATTGCTTTGTGGTTTCAAAAAATAATATTTAGGTTATTTTGAATTTTATTATTTATTTAATACATTATATTGCTCCATTAAATATATTCATAGAAATTTCTATTTGTTTTAATTACAATTCACGTATTCATTTAATATTGTTTTATTATATATTTTGATTTTTCAGATAATAAAACACAATTATCTTATGATTTTTTGAAATTGTATCTATTTTTAATTACTAAAAGGTTTCTCATTAAATTTATTTGTGACTCTTTAATATTGGGGAAAATAAAATACAATTACACTAATTGTTCCTAATTTTTATCTATCCTACCTTGAAATAATAATTTTTTATAGTCTTGAGATTGAAGACATATCCACATCAGGGCCTAGTCTCATACTTTTTTATCTTATGATCATTAGATTATCCTTGTGTTTTCACTAGTATGATTTTAAAATAGTGTTTTTTAACATTTAGAGGATATATTATCAATCTCAAATTATATTTAATATGAGTTTAAAAATTTTATTATTACACTTTGACGTGATAGCAACAATTTTCATTGCTTCTTACATAGCGAAAAAATGTAACTTTTAGTGTAGTTTTTTATTTGGAACTAATTTTGCCTTTTTTTAAACCAATTATTTTTCGCCCATGTATTCATCAGTCCAGCCAATTTAATTTAATATTTTGAGAGATTATCTCATTACTGATTGATTCAAAATTAATATTAAATTGTCAAACCGTCTGGTGGTTTATAATTCTTCAATGTAATGTTAATAGATTAGAGCAATTTCTTTCTTTATCGAGAATTTTATGTTCTACTTTTCTGTACGTCTTTCTGAGTATTTTAGAATTTTCCTACGTTCCTCTTCGCCTTGTAGGTCAATTGTGTTTGAGGAGTTTGTTTCAAATCTACTTCAGTTAATGTTTATTTTTTAATTTATTGTATTATATAATATTTACAGTTTTTTAATTCATCAAAAATTTGAAATGATCCCAAATTTTCCTGTTCCCACCTCTAATATGATATGAGAAAAATTATTTGATTATCTGTAATTCAGGTAATTATTTAGTTTTTCTCAAACTATTATTATTTATTTTATTATTAGGTTCATAGATTATTTATTTATGAAATAAATATAAGTCTCTATAAATATATATATTTATAGTATTACCTGTTACTTTAATATTTTACAAGAAAACTTAGTGCAGGTCACTAAAGATCACATTCCTATCATAATTAACCGGTACTCAATTAGACTCAATAATATATGTCTTTCTGATTCAAGTTTCCAGAAAAATTTTAAAAAACTATATTTAAATTGTTCGTCTATCTGGTTCATTATCTAACTTGTAAATGAGTTTATGTTCATAATCGAATGAACTATGAATTATCATAAATCAATTTTTAATATATTCAACTACAAAAAAAAAATTTTTAAGCTCTGAGCAATTCAAATCACCGTATCAGCTTGCGTATAATTCTTCATGTGACCTTTGAGAGCTAGGCAAGGTCTTATCTTTTTATGAAACTGATTATCTAATTTTTATTTTTTTACATTTACGGTTTAATTTAGATTTAAATAACAAATAGTGTTTTGTTTAATTTTGTCATATGAATCACAAATTTTGGTCGGTGGTGAGACTTTCTTCCATGCTTATGTTTGTCTTAAATGTAATCTCCTCTATTTGTTACTTAAGAGCTTGTTATGCTGTATTTATTATTTTAAGTTCTTGTATTCCACAGCATTTTCTTTTTTCTCCTAATTGCATATACTTAAAAATTTACTATTTTTAAGTAAAGTAGGCAAGTACTACTTTTACATGTACCTACAATACTGTGAATCTTACATGCTTAATCATCTTGGAGAACATTACACCTTCTATATTAGTTTTTACAAAATTATATACATACCACTTTGACGACGTAATGAACAAAAATCGTATATTTATATGCTGTTATCAATTGATTCCTTTACGTTTTATAAACTTATTTACCACAACTGTGGACAAGCTTCTGAAACTAGCGCTAATCCATCTATTCTGAAAGTAATTTATGCTGAGTTTATAGACAACTTGCTGAATTCAAGCAGAAGGGTGACACCCCTGGAGTGTAACAAAATATATGAAAAATAAAAATATTAGGAAATATTTACCTACTGAATTGTTAAACTTGAACACCGAAATAAACATAGATTGTTAGTAAACTGAATATAAATATGTATGATAAGAAATCAAACACTAAAGTTATATCCACTGGATCCATCAACCCTGATTGAACCGATGAACCATTGGTGATTTGATTGATGAATAAAGAGACGAGACGTTTTAATTTCCATTGATGAGCTCTGCACTAAGTTTGTAATCTTGGCTTGAATAACGAATATTTAAAAAAAATAAATATCAGTATTATAACAATTAAAACAGAGATAAGAAAGAAACTGTTTGTTTCTTCTACTTTAGATCTGTGAGTGTATTAACAATTTGTTGTTATTGTGTTGCAGGAGGACAAACAGGTCTGTTTCAACCAGGGAGCTCTATCTTAGCAGGAGGTGGGAGCCAACCAGCTGCTCTCCACAACGCAGCTACTGCTTTCGGTATGCAGGGCTTCAGTGCTCAATCGACTGCTCCAGCTCAGCCTCCTTCCAATAACCCCGTCGGGGTACCTTATTCCTCCCAGGTCAGTTTCTCTCTCATATTCTCTACCATTTCTTAATTTTTATTTATTTATTTTATTTTATTTTATTTTTTTTGTTCTAATACCGTAGAATCCTTTTCCCTTATTTTTTACTTATCCAGATATTTCAAAAAAATAATAATAATAAATTTATAATATATTTTTTTTTGAAAATTTTAAAAGTATAACATGAATTTTTTCCATTTCTGCTAATATGTTATTTAATTTTTTAGTTTAGATAGATTGGTTTTTCTTATAAAAATATTGTTTAATTTCATTTTTTAAAATATACTTTCATAAACAGATATTAGCAAACCTCTAGTCGAGTCACTTGGTGATTTAATGTATAATAATCTATTAGGTTTTTTAAATATTCAGTTTTTAATCCTTTACTACAATCCTTTCCATGGAAAGAGATAAGGATATATTTTGTGTATTAAGGTTTTTAAAATGTTGCCTGTAATGGTGCCTTTTTAAACTCTAATTTTGGCTGTTAATCATCAATATTAAATTAATTCTTGCAATAGTGCAGGGTCACTATGAACGTAACTAACGCTAGTATCCATTATGTTGTTTAGATGGGACATTTCAGGGGACAAGCCCCAGCAGCTTACCTCAAGGCTGCTGGTGGTAACCCTGTTACTGGCCAGCATGCATCTGATCCAGCAAAATCACCTTCGACCAATCAAGACCTTGTAAACTCGGTTTTTTCTACAGGTAACATAATGACTGTCATTTACTTTTTCAGCTAATAATAGTTCTTAAATGAATTTTTAAAAAATTATAATTTAGATATACAAGTTTCACAAACTAGTTAGTTGTATCACAGGGTAAATCTTTTTTGATTATTAAAATTTACTAAATATTGAAGTAGTTCATGATTTATAAAAGCATGGAAAATAATAGAAATATAGTAGTTCGTTGATGTTTTATTCTTTGGGGAAAAAAGGAATTTTTTTTCAATTAGTAATAGTTCTTAATTAGATTGATTAAATTATAATTGGGTCTTCAGATTTCTTACTGATAATAAATTAAGTAAAAAGAATTTTTTTTTCTTTCATTACTTCTACTTCTTCCTTGCAATCCTTATTTCACCACTAAAATAATTGTTCCTTCAAATTATTATTTTTATTTTTTTAATTTTGAGTGTGTGACGCACTAAATGCCTATAAACTTTGTAAATTCATTCCTTTGGATGAATGAGATTTATTTGAATATTGTGCTATTAAATACCTTTGGTATTCATGAATATTATTAAAGTATTAATTTACTTATTACTTATCAGTTAATGATATTATCTGGGTCTTTAAAGTATTCTTTACAATAAAAAAATTATGTGCTGAGGCCTTTGTTCTTTTATTATTTCTAATTTTTCTTTTCTCCTTACAAGGCTCTTTTTTACATTTGAATAACTTTTCTTCAAATTATTATTTAGTTTTTTTATTTTCAATGTGTGATCTACTAATTGTTTGTAAGCTTTGTAAATAACTTAGATTTATTTTAATATTGTATACTGCTAATTTGAAGAGTAAATGTATTTTTATCATTGTTTCAAAAGGTGGTGGTGGACAAATCCCTTCTCCTAAGTCGAGGAACAGTGGTTCTGGTGGTAAACAGCCCCAAACACCCCAGCAACCATCACCTACCCAAGGACATCACAAGTTTGCTTCTTACCCGGCACAACCAAACTTGGTACGTATATTTTTAGCATGTTCTATTATACTATTAGGTATCAGGCTAAATTATTATCTTTGCATAGGATATTTACTCTTGTTTTTTCATTTTATCAGAAATTATTATTTATGTTATATACGAAAATTATATCTAAGTAATCCTTTTTAAGACCATCAAATTCCTGTCAAATATCAATACTAATTTACTAGCTTGCCTTACTTTTGAAGTTTTTATAATATGCCTCTTTACAAAGTGAGTGAAGTTATATTTATAAGGCTGTACAAAAGAGAGGCCAGGATGGCTGAGCAGATTAAGGAGCTTAAAATAGTTATTACAATTTAAGGTACATCGATCTTGGTAACTATTTAGATGGGTGAACTTCCAAAATGGATGATTGAGAAAAACCATGAGGACTTATGATCCCACCTTGTCTTCTTTAGTTGAGTATTGTGATATGGTTTTCCTGGATATCAGTAGCTGTTCCAGGGAAAACAATATAGATCATCCCTGCTGACTCTGAGCATCCATAATCCATGGTCCTAGACAAATATTCCAATGTTCTTGAATCCAAGTTAGTAGGAATAACACTGTCAGTTTGGCCCCAAAGATATCATCCAAGGAGTATGGGTGCCCTGATTGAGATCATGGTTAATAGCAATGTGAGATTGGTTGATTCCCTCTTTTCATCCCTCAAATAAAAAATTTATTAGTATCACTTTAAAAAAAAATTTATGATCAACAATTTTATTTATCCATAAATGTATTCTTTAATTTCCAGGTGATGCAGGGAGGTGGCAACAACCAACAACAGCAGCAGCTAGGTGGGCGTGGCGGTGTCCCTCCTGGTCCTCAAGGTGTCAGGACCGGAAATAATAACGGCAATGGTTTGGGCGGCAACGCTGGTGTCGCTCGCTATCCTACACCTATCCAAAGGCCTGCTAGCTACCCGGGACTGCAGCCTCAAAGGCATAGGGTGCCACAGCAGTCCCGTCCACCACCAGTCTCACAGCAACAGCACCTGCAAAAGATCTCCAGCCAGTACTATCAACAGCAAGGTTAGTTAATAGGTTCTTATAGGTTCTTAGTTAATAGTTGACTCCTGGCTTTCAACCGAGTAGGACGTGTTTTAGTAGGTGCGTGTAACTCGGGAGAGAAGTAGTTGTATTTGTGCTGAAAAGCGGTTTAAATACAGTTTGTGCGTTTGTTAAAGCGGGGTTGGTGTTACAACCGATATACTTCCCGGGATTGAAGGGAAAAAAATAGATTTAAGAAGATCAGTGCTGGGACCACGAGGCAGAGGAACCGCAAGGTTAGGAAAGCACGTGGTAGCAGCAGTGAAAAGGTTAGTGGAGCACGTGGTCGCCACGAGGAAAGAAGAGGTTAGGCGACCGCGTGGAGAGATAAGGTTAGTCGACCACGTTGCGGTGTAAGGTTAGGAGAGCACGTGGTCGCCACGAGGCCTTAAGTAGGTCAGCAGCTGTTGCTCCGGAAGAGGGGAGACCGCGTGGCCGCTGCGAAAGGTTAGGTGAGCACGTGGACGCCACGAGGCCTCAAGTGGGTCACAGCTGTTTCTCTGATCTGAGAGAGGGGAGACCGCGTGGCCACCGCGTGAGGTTAGGAGAGCACGTGGTTGCCACGAGGCCCTAAGTAGGTCACAGCCGTCACTGACTGGGAGGTTGGACCGCGTGGCTGCCGCGAGAGGTTAGGAAAGCACGTGGCTGCCACGAGGCCTGAAGTAGGTCAGCGGCGTAGAGAATAGACAGCTGAACCGCCATAGAGGTAGGTGAAGAAGATTCTAAATATGAGTGAAGATAAATCACCATCGAAATCCAAGTGGCAAGAGAAATTGGATTCGCTCCTGTTCGTTAAGAGTCCGCCAACCAAGGAGAGTTCGCCTCAGAGGAGGAGTGGTGCCATGCCGAGTGATGCGCCAACCCCGGGATCTGACGAGTCGGTCGGATACAGGGAGGGTTCTGCGGCATACGACACCATGATGAATATCTGGGGCGAGACCGCCGGAGCGGAACCAAACCGGGAGTCCAAGGGATCCAAAAGGATGTTGTCCCCAGCGACGCCGGAGGATGCCCCCGGGGCAAAGAGACCGCAGGCCGAAGACTCCTCCGAGGCTCTACACCTGACGGGGAAGGGAGAGACCTCCCCTTGGAACGCAGGAAGCGTAATGGGAGAGGTGATGAGAGCCAGAGTGAGACTGGAAAATATCATCAGGGAGTTGGAGATGCCCTTACAAGCGCCGATAAGGGGCATCTTCGAAGACCTAGCGAAGCTTGCGACGGAGACTGCCTTAAGGGTGAATACACTTGAGGCAGAGAAAGCGCAGGCTGAGCGACTCATAAGTGAGAAAGCGCTCGGCGGCTTTGGTTCCCCAAGAACCCTGGTAAGGGAAATCCTCACCGATGACGAGTTCCTGAAAGGGGTTGAGAAGAGAGTAGCCTCGGGAGTGTTGGCAACAACACTAGCCATGGCGGAGCAGGGCATGGAGGAGGCCAGTGCGGAGTACAACAGGACACTGGCTGAAAACCAGAAAGCCCTTCAAGACCTGGAGGAACTCCGAAGCCGGACTGTGGGACGGAAAGCGGCCCCACAGAGCAACTGGATCCTAGAAATTCCAGGTGGCGACAGGGTGGTAGAGGCTGAGTGCCCGGCCAGACCCGCAAAAAAGGTCAGGTTTGGAGACTGCGAAGCCCCCCCCAGACCCAAAAGCCAGCGGGAGGAGGAAAGGGGAAAACCGACTCCAGGTCCATCAAGGGAGATCGGGATCCCCGCACCTATGCCACTCAGAAGCACAGGCATAGAGATGTGCCGCGGGAGGAACATGCGACCCGAATCCGAAGAGGAGGAAGAGAGCGAGTTCACCTTGGTACAAGGTAGGAGGAAGAAGAGGAGGGCGAGGAAGAGGAAGAAGCAAAAGACCTCCACTCCAGTAGAGGGCCGGAAAGAGAAAGGCAAAGAGAGGCAGCCCAGCCACAGCGACCTGCTCAACGGGCTGGTGGAGATGGTTGAGCGGAAGCTGCTCTCGGAGCAGGACCCCCTGAGAGCATCGAAGGCTAAGGAAACATATGTCACTATCAAGGGTCAGGAAGGGTGGAACCCGAGGGACATATGGAAATTGCTCCCCGAAGACATAAGGGGAGAGGCCCAGATGGACGTCGACGTGGTTAAGGTCACGTATAAGAAGGACGTCCTCGTAAGAACAAAGGGCCCAGAAGAAGCCAAGAGGCTCATAGGGTGGGACAGGCTCCGGGAAAAAGGCCTGACGGCACAGCTGGCCAACAAAAGGAAGCCCCGATTAGAAATAATGCGGGTGCCTTCCGAGTGGTCAGCTGAGATGCTGGAGCAGGTAATTTGGGAGAAGCTGGCGACTAGGGGATTTGAGAGACCGGCGCAAGGTGCCCAGGACTGGATGAGAGCATGTTTCTCCAACTGGGAGAGGAGCGGGCTCAAGAGGACCTGGGTACTCGAGGTTCACCCGAGGACGAGGATGGCAATATTGCTGTTAGACAGTATCAGCGGGGGATGGTGGAACCTCCAAGTGAGGGACTACATCGATCCCCCTCTGTGCCTGAAGTGTCAAGGGTACGGTCATACCAAAGCCCATTGCAAGGACCAGTTGACCTGCAGATGGTGTGGTGAGGAGGGACACATCCACAAGGAGTGCCCAAAGAGAAGCCTGCCCCCGGAATGCAGGAACTGCAAGAGGAGTGGAAAGAAGAGCGAATTGAAGCACTGCGCTGGAAGCAGGGAGTGCCCGGTACACCTGAGTGAGATGAGACTCCTGGCTAAGAGAACTAATTATGACTAAACTGAGGATCGGGCAGATCAACATGGCGCGGAGGAGGGTGGTGGCGGATGAGCTGAGGGCCCAAACCGCGAGATTTGATCTGCTTGCAGTACAGGAGCCTTGTTGTAAAAACAACCAGGTGACCGGGTTCGGGATGGCGGCAAGGGTCGTTGCCCAAAGCAGTGGAGAGAGGAGGCCTAGGGCAGCGATAGTAATCCTCAACCCCTCACTGGATGTCATGGAGATGAAGCAGCATACGACGGCGGACCAAGCGGCATGCTGGATTAGATGGGGAGACGCAGCTTTTGCCCTTCTGTCCGCCTATATGCCGCCGAAAGATGACATTGAGGGGAACATCGAGCACATGGAGGCCGTGGCGCAGCAGTACGGTAACGTGCTGATATGCGCCGACACGAATTCGTGGAGCACGGCCTGGGGCTCAGAAGTCACCGATAGAAGAGGAATGAAGCTCGAGGACAGCATAGCCAGATGCCAGCTGATAGTAGTGAATGAACCTGGCGAGCCCACGTTTGTGGGACCCAGGGGACAAAGCTGGATTGACATAACGCTGGCCTCAGCTCCAATGATGAGACGAGTGGCAAACTGGGGCCTCAGGTCTGATACGAGCTCGGACCATGGGACCATCATGCTCGATGTTGTGAGAAGAAAAGAGGAGAGACGAGCGGAAGGGGAGCGTGGATACGTCACAAGGTCGGCGGACTGGGCTCGGTACCGTGGAGCGCTGGAGGACATCCTGGTGGACAGGGAGTGGGAGGAACCGCCAGAAGATGACGAAGCGCGCGGTATCGAGAACAGGATAAACGTGCTTACAGGCGCCATGAGAGACGCGGCAGAGGCCTCCCTTCGGAGGAGGAAGGTGAGGGAGAGACCAGTGCCGTGGTGGACGCCGACCTTGACGGCGCTGAAACGGGAATATCACCGGGCTAGGCGGAGGTGCCAAGGCTGCAGGAACGAGGAGAGAAGAGAGGTGCTCCGACTGGAAAGCAGGCGCACGCTCAAAGAATACCGCAAGGAGATGCGCCAGCGAAAGAAGTCATCCTGGGACGAATTCGTTGAAAGGGAAACGGAGAAAAATCCTTGGGGGATACCGTACAGGGTCGCACTCGACAAGGTGAAGCCAGCCCAACTCATGGCTGCCATGAGAGTGGGCGGTAGACAGGCTGAAACCTTGGAAGAGGCGGTGGCCATGTACGTTGATCATACGTACCCCAGGGACGATCCGACCCTGGACACGGAGGAGGACCGGATGATCAGAAGGACTACGGAGTATCCTCCCGGAACGGACCTGTGCGAGCCGTGGGACATCTGGGACCTCCGTCTGGCGATAGAGAAGCAGAAGGTAGGAAGGGCTCCGGGACTCGATGAGATCGATGCAGCGATCTTGAGGAACAGTGCGCCTCAAATAGAGGACGAACTTCTGGCCATATGCAACCTGTGCCTGGACAGAGGGCACTTTCCGCATCAATGGAAGGAAGCGGACCTCAGATTGCTGTACAAAGGGGGAGGTAAAGATAAAGAACAACCTAAGGCCTACAGGCCCATATGCCTCCTCCCGGTGATCAGCAAAGTCCTGGAGCACTTGATAATGGAGAGGATGAAACCGGTGCTGCGCGTGGCGGGTCATCCTCGGCAGTTCGGTTCCACGAAAGGGAAGGGCACGGCGGATGCGCTGATGCAGATGAAGCGGGACGTCGAAGACGCGGAGGAGAAGTATGCGTTGTTGATACTCTTCGACATATCTTCTGCCTTCGATAGCGTCTGGTGGCCCGTTGTGATGCAGAGGCTGCAAGAGTACGATGCCCCCAGCAATCTATACTCCCTCGTGGGCAGTTACCTCAAGGATAGGAGAGTGAAGATCCGGGGTAACTCCTTCGAGGTGGAGAGGGGGATCGAGAGAGGGTGCCCGCAGGGCTCGGTACTCGGGCCAGCACTGTGGAAACTAGTTTTCGATCAGTTGCTTGGCGAGTTGGAGGAGAAGGGGTACCGAGCCATTGCATACGTGGATGACCTGGCGGTGCTGGTGACGGCAAACAGCAGGGCCAGAGTGAAGGAGGAAGCCGAAGGACTGGCCATCCTAGTAGAGGAGTGGTGCCAGAAGAGGAAGCTGAGGATGGCGGCTGAGAAGACACAGGCGATGCTGCTGAAGGGGAAAACCGACAGAGCCCACCCAATCAACCTAGACATAGGTGGAGCGAGGGTGCGCGCGTGTGAGGAGGTAACGTACCTAGGGGTGAGGTTCAGAAGATCATTCGACCCCAGCCCACACATCGCGTACCTGAGAGGAAGGGTGACCACCACACTAAATGGCCTGTCGAGGATAGGTAGTGCGTTCTGGGGGGTCAAGTACCCAGCGACCAGAACAATCTACAAAGGAGTAGTATTAGGTATAATTAGGTACGCATCGCCTGCGTGGAGTCGGCGGCTGACAAAAGAGCAGCGTGGAAAGCTGGCAACCACACAGAGACTGGCCCTGCTGAGAGTAACAAAAGCCTACAGGACGGTGTCGCACGAGGCGGTCCAGATACTGGCTGGAGAGATGCCCATTGACCTGATCCTAAAGGAAGACGTAATCAGGTTCGATGTCAAAAGACACGGACTCGGTTCGCTTCCGGAGGGATTACGGCAAAGGGCTGAGGAGGAGCCAGGAAGATGGAAGAGGCTGGTGGAGGAGGACTCACTTCGGGAGTGGAACGAGCGGTGGGTGAGGAGCGAAAAGGGTTCTACCCTCAGGAAGTATTTCCCCACCGTCAGTTCCAGAATGGAGGCGAAGTGGGTGAGACCTGACTACTGGACGTCTCAGATCCTTACGGGGCACGGGGGTTTCAGAGACAAGCTGAATAAGCATGGGAAGAACATCAACCCCTTGTGCCCCACTTGTGGGATTCCGGACACGGCGGAGCATGTAGTCCTGAGCTGCGAAAAGATGGCTGGGCACAGAGCTTGGCTATCAAGGATGACAGGGCTATATGCGATGGAAGAGGCGGACTTACCGAGGCTGATGAGCGAGGACTTCTACCCCTACTTCACCGAGTACATCAGGAGATGGAAGGAGGCGGTGGGCCCGGAGCACTTCACCCTTGGGAGAGGACGCCCGCCGGAAGCCGTAGAGGAAGCGACGGAGGAAGAAGAAGAAGAAAGAGAAGGTGCAGTCCCTTCCTAAGGCGTGCAACCGCACGCTGGGCTGCACCACAGATACCCTATATTGTCCCCAAAAATATAAATATCCAAAAGCATGTATATAAACATATAAATAAAGAGTAAAAAAAAAAAAAAAAAAAGGAAGAGTTTATTGGTGGCAGTGGCATGCGCAAATCCCATGTGCACTACCCTACTGTCACCGAACCCCGTATGCCAGAAATGGCCAGGTAGGGGGAAAAAAAAAAAAAAAAAAAAAAAAAAAAAAAAAAAAAAAAAAAAAAAAAAAAAAAAAAAAAAAAAAAAAGTTAATAGGTTCTTCTTTCTTTTTCTAAGCTTTAGCATACACCTAATATGGTGTTATCAATAATTATCTGAAGGCATACAATTGTTTAATCAAAGTATTTTCATTTAGGTTCATATTATAAAATTACAAGTTCTCATTTTTACATCAAAATTAAGTAATATTTTAAATTTTTAATTAATCAAGAATGCGAAATTATGTTGTTATGAAAATCTTAATTTGTCAAAAATTAATAAGGTGTATAAAAAAAAAATGTCTGTTTTTCTATCAAATATTTGTTTAATTATTTCTTTAATATAAAATACAATTAATACTCAAAGTATAGTCCATTGTTATCTACCGTCATTAGCCAATTACTTGATCCCATGCTGCTGCCATTCTTTGGAATGAATCTCAAAGAACTCTAAGAATTCAATTTCAACTTCCGCAGAAATTATCAAATTTTTTTTGTTAAAGAAAATGGGCCATGGATCTGTTAGATCAATGGGCCATAACTCTTAATCTAATGGGCGGTGTGTGCACAGCACCGCCGTTGCCTGGCAACCTGACATATGAATCTAATGATATAAATTAGTCACGAGTTCGCGTCCCGGTGCCGGGGGAGTCTTTCAAATCCCCGCCCACACCCCCTGGTCCGTGAAAACCCCATATAGCCTTAAAGGCGAGAAAGGGGAAGACCAAAAAAAAAAAAGTCGTAATCCAATGTTGCGAGGTCAGAACTATTTGGTGGATGGGGGTTTTTCAATAAATTGCTATTTTTTCATCTTCCCCATAGAGAGTAGACGACGAGTAACCTTTTTTTTTTATACCACACTCTCTAGCAAGTTCGGGAGTACTTGTGGACTGATTTCACTCAATAGCTTCCTGCAGAACCTCATCAATATCCATTAATAGTCACTTGGAGCCCTTCCTTTCAAACGTCGTATTTCCACTGCTAAATTTTTCAAACCAACGCAACGCAGTGCCCTGGTCAAGGACACCATCCCCTTCATATTTAATAATTTCACAAGTTGCTTCAGAGGCTGTGGAAATTTTTTCCAGTAGTACTAAAACTGTTTTTAAGAAGTCGAATGGGATGAAACAAGGTTAGGGAATGCTCTAAAGGGATTACGAGGGTGGTCTGAAAAGTTTTCGACTGCAACGTGATGAAGATGGCAGCACTCATAAATAAAAGCAAGTGAATTTCGTTGTTCATCTGTTGACAGTTACCCACCAAAGTTTCAGCCATTTTGGACGCCCAGTTTTATGTAACAGTCGTTTTTTTGGGTGAATGTTTTTGTGAAAATAGACAAAATCGAGCTGTCATTAAATATTTGTTTTTAATGACGATTTGGATTCTGTGTATGGAGACTCCACTAACGTTCATGACGTGCTAAAACTGCAACTACCAACAAAAACATTGCCAAAGTTCACCAAATGGTGCTAGATGACTGCCGAATTAAAGTGAGAGAGATAGCAGAGGTTATGGATATGTCAAAAGAACGTTTTTGTTAAATATTAATTCAACATTTAGATATGAGAAAGCTGTCCACTCGTTTGCTCTCGTTAGACCAAAAATGTGTTCGAATGAACATTTCCAATGCTCTGTTGGCGCAGTTTAGGCGCAATAAATCCCAGTTTTTGCGCCGAACTATAGATGAAACTTGGATACACCATTATATCCCCGAAACAAGGCATTTCATCATGGCATTGGGCTTTCATCAAGGCATTGGATCGTCTCACACCTCAGTGGTTGCCATGGCAAAAATCCACCAATTACAGTTTGAACTGCTTGATCATCCGCCTTACTCACCAAATCTAGCCCCGAGCGACTTCTTTTTGTTCCCTTATCTAAAAATTATGCTCGGAGGACAGAAATTTTCGTCATATGAAGAAGCAATCACCTTCGTGAACAATTATTTTGTAGAGAAAAATGCCGAGTACTTTTTGGTGGACGGGTTACAAAGATGGGAGGGAGAAGTGTGTAGAGTTACAAGGAGGCTATGTTGAAAAATGTCTTGTATTTTTGTTAGGTCGGAAACTTATTAGACCATCCTCGTATTAAGTATTGGTGAGTACTAAATAGGATTAAAAAAACTTACAGTTCTTTGAAATCTTGAATTTGATAAAACTCATTTTTTTTATATACATCCTGTTATTTATATATTTCTCTTATGAACATTCTTCTAAGAATATACTTTTACTTTTCACTGTAATAACAACTCGTATTTTCTGACATCATTGCTCACTTATCAAAAAAGAAAAATTTATGGAAATGTACTATTTGGTTATTAGCTCTGTTCAGGATCTATGTATATTGCATGAATAAGTTTTAAAATTAATAATCCTATTTAAATATTATGTCACGATAATATTTTCTGGTAGCTTCTGTATGCATTTTTTTCTTTCCGTGCAATTTTAACTTTCTGAAAATCAAGAAGGTACAATTTATTAAAAGGTGAAAAGCATAAAGGGACAATGATGTTATTTTATTATTAAAAGTTATAAGAGCTAATGAACATAAAATTTATTATGTTGAATTAAATGTCAATTTGTTCTCAGGTAACCCTGTAAAACTTGATGTTGAAGGCAAGAGCGAAGGAGATAAATTGCAGGAGCAAACTAACCCGGGAAATACTAAACAAGAAAAAAAGGAGGAAACAACCAACAGCTCTGAACAGTAACAATGTCCGCTCATCAGGAAGAAATGGATCAAATCTCAGCCGACTGCTCTGCTTTATCGGAGCAGGCTTTTCTTTATCTTATTAGTTATGGGTTAGGGTTGGCTCTGTACCACTTCGGCAGAGCAAAGAGCATACTAGCTATCGTATTGTAATTTTGCTATTGTAACCCTCTTTATATTACGTGAAAGTTCCTCGTTTCTCTGTTATCGAGCACTGAGATGATGCTATTTTATGGATTACTTCTATGATAGCATATGAATGTTTAATACATTTAAAATATAAATAAAAACAAATTGAGTTCTCTCTGCATCTTCAACAACTTTAGGAAGACGACGAAAACAACATCTATAAGGTGTAGATCCGAAAGGGTGTCGGCCCTAATTTAGAGCTCCCTGGTCTTTGCTAGTATGATTTTTATTATCGTGTATGTGCGTATCCGTGTGATTCCTTGGTAATGAACTCCATTATTTTAACTGTGTTAATTATTAGTGAACAATGTATTTGTTATTATAAAAGTATACATAAATATAGAGGAGAGTATTGGAGCTGCTGACCAGAAGATGATCTGTATCTGAAGTTAAATCAACTTATATGTGGTCTTATTCTCTTAGTTGTGAATTTCGAGTGATTTTCCTGAATGGAGTGTACTTCTGCTGAAAGATTTTGCCTCCATCGTTAAAAAATAAAATAAGAAAAAGCTATTGTTCCATTGTAATAAAATAACATGCTATCAGGCTTTATAAGAATGATATCCATGTGTTAATTATTATCATAGAAACTAAATTAATGAGAAATGGTATTTAATAAACAAAAAAAATATATATAAATATATATATTATGTATATCCAGATCAATTTATGGGGGTTAGACTGCAATTTATGCATGTTGTAAAAATAAGGTATTGATTCTAAGTGTTTGGCTATAGCCAGTGATTTTGAGAAACTGTTTTCCCCCATGTTCTTATAAATTGTAGGCACACTTGAATCTGTACAGCTATTAACATGGCTTCATTTTTTTAGAACGTTTGTATTATTTTATTCGATTTAAGTTTCTTGTAAATCAAGATTTACAGATAACAGATAGCTGAGTGTATTTCAATTATGTATCTAACTTAATTAAATGGTGTAAATTGTTTTTTGATTATATTATATATGTGTACATTCTTGAAAATAATTCCAAAATCTCTGTGGTCATATTTTTTCCCAGCTCAAATATGCTATCTGTCTATTTGTCTATAGTTGCAATAAATATAAATTTTCTGGAAACTGCCAAATTTAATGTAATTTACACTTTGTTTACCTATTTATTACTTAAGAATGAAAAACATATTGCAATTGTGTAAGTACATTCCTAGACTTAGCCCCACAATGTTCCTTTTTTCCTACCTTAATATACCCATTGAAAAAAGGAAAAAATATGCCTCCTTCTTAATTATATTAAATGTTTACTAAGTTTTAGTTTTAATTTTAATTATTCCTCTCCATACATATTTTTTTTTTATTCTGCACTTTATAGCTATTTCGTTATATGCTATTTTACTTATATGAAATTATTGAAAGATTTTATTATTACCATTTTTTATAATGAAAACCAAATACAAATTGATGCTGATTAAAAGATATGTTTGCAATTGATCGATCAGTGCAGTAACTGATTATCACCTGATCTCAGAAATAATGGAAAGCTAATTTTTCATCAGTCTTTCTTTCTACTAACTTCATGCCCAGCTTATAGACAAATACTTTTTTTTTTTGGAAGATTAAATCGATCTGATATTTAAATTAATGGTGATTATTTAATGCATTCCTTACTGCAGGGGTTTCCAACCTTTTTTCATCAGATGGGACATTTATAGGTTGTCTTGACTGGCGGGCATCCTGTTTTTGTTAATTGTAGGTTACTGTTTATAAATTTAAAAAGAAAATGTAAATGGTATCAATAAAAAATATATAAACTTATAGTAGCAGAAATCTTTATCATTTCTAAAACTAATGAAATACATTGCTACAGAAAAGGTGAAAACGCCAAGTTCAATGATTGTATTAATTTTATATAGTTTTCTTTTATTAAATTAACACATTTTCAAATTAAAAGCATCATGGACTATAACTAATTATAAAATGAGTTGAATGCAAATTTAACAACAGTTTCATTAATTTTTCTTAATAAAATATTAATCAAAACAGTAATGATATTATATTGACAAATGAATTATTATTAGTATGTTTGTAACAATAATAATTATTAAATTTTATGTCTATAAACTTGTCAGTTTTTTAAATATTCTTCATATATTTAATAAAGGAATTGTTAAACATTTGAATTGAAAACTCATCTATCTACAGTATAAATAATATGTCACATAAAAAATTATGATGATTCAAATAATACAACAGAAATTACAACTTTCAAAGTGATCATTCATACTTACAGGTAATTATTAGATATGTATTAAAATAAACATTTAATTGAAAATGTTATACACAAAAGTGAGCACTGGGTTAGAAACCCCGCTCTTACAGAATGATAGATATAGTTTTACAGAAACAACTTCATATTTTTCCATTTTATGAGTAAATGATTGCTTTATCAAAATTTATGTCATGCCAAATATTGTGGTTCTTGATTATACATTTCAGAGAAAAGCATTTGCATATTTGGTAATCATGATTTCTTTACAACATTATAATTAAGATAGTAATAATTTCTTCATAAATAAATACATTTATTTTTTTTTTATCATTAGTAGTGAAACTATTTTTTAAAAATTAATAAATAAAAGGCATCATTATAATAAAGAAATTGAAATCTGCCTTAAGTTACTTTTAAACTGTAACTTAATCCTAGGTTTCCTAAATGCAAGAGTCATAAACTATTGTGACCATTCTGGACCTAGCCAGGTGAAACTGCTAAGACAGAATCAAGAATAAAATTGCAACAATTATAAACATTCTTGAAAAATTGATTGACTGACAGTTTTGTTATTTCGACATTTGAAAAATTAAAGAAGTTATTTCCTTCGATTTTGTTCTGGATTTGATCTTGGTAACCATTGAATGCTTTCCAGTCATATCATATGTATCCTAAGGCCAATTATATATACTGTGAAAAAATTAGTTTAAATAAATTAATAGTCGTGAGTTCATTTTTATTGATATAAACCTTAAAAAATAATTTGTTTATCTAATTTATTCTAATATAGAAAATCAGTTATCAGTAATTTTTAATATGAAAATAAAATAAATAGTTAAAGGAAATATTAGGCATTAATAATAGAATGTCAGTTGTTTTCATCCACCTTCAAACAAATTTTTAGGAGAGTTCAACTAGAAACCGTTAACGCTATTAAAAAATGGCAGTTTGTGATGACTATGTAAAAATTTAAGAGTTCAACTGAACTTCTAGATTTTTAAAATTAAAATATTGGACTAATAATTAATTTAAGTATTATAAGTAGAGATCTGAAGCATTTATTCAAAGTGGTAAACCCGATTATTACATTTAAATTGAAGTTATACATTTTTTTCTTTTTTAATGTGAAGGCCACTTTAGTGTAAAAAACAATTTATTTTACCCATATACTTTTATTACACTTGTAAATCTTTGGAGGAATGAGTATGAAGGGTTGAACATCAAACTCTACCAGCTTCTTTATGATCACACAAGTCATTTAATAACACCTTTAAAGCCTCCAACTCTCTTAAGCAGTGTAAAACATCGTCAAAATATCCTTATCTATAATATAGATATTTTTTAGGCAGACTTGAAGATTAGGCCAAAACATCTGATGTATTGAAAGAAATATTTAAAAGTAGTTTTGAAAGGGTTAAATTATTTTTCCTGACATTACAATAATAATACAATAAAATAGTAAATTTAAAATTATTCAATGAATTATAGAAGAAAGTTAGTCGACTGTTCTATATATCATGGGTGATAAATATTCAGAATGCAGTCAAGGTTTTTATAAGTGCCGACATTTCAACCCAAACATGTGGGTCATCATCAGGGCATGGCTCGAGCTCTGAAGATATTCAACTAATCAGTGAGTACTTATAAAATATTATTAATAAAAAGTGCTCATTATTATTTTCACATTTATTTTTATAATTTATTTTATTATTCTTTTTTAAAATTATTTATACTTAACACTTATTTCTCTTGCCTTTTGAGAGTATTGTTTGTCAGTAAAAAAATTATTAAAACAAAATAATAATTTTGTTTATATATACAAATATATATAACATTAATCAACAATATTAATTAATTTATTAGTTATTAATATATTAATAACCGTAGCTTAATATATGTGCTAGTGGACAGTGCTGAGACTGTTGGTGTGTCCCTGGCCTGATCAAAGCTCGATTTTTGAAATTCTAGCTTTGAAGAGGATCCCATCATTGACTTATAAAAAGAAAAATACTAGGATCGGGGAATAAACATAGAGGAAATGAACATTCATTAATTTATTAAATAATTAATAAGTGACCTTATTCCCGATTAAATTGCTATGTTTTAATTTAATACTCAAAGGTCGATTAAAGGAAAGTTGTAAATATATATATTTATATATATATATATATATATATATATATATATATATATTAATTTTAAACGACTAAAGTTAAAGGGAAAAAAGGAAAATACACACAAATAAAGCAAAAAAATATTCAATAGTTACGAAACAAGAAAACAGTTTAACATATAACATTATTTTTGGCATATTAAACAATTTTTTACAAAACAATATGTTGAATATTTCGCGTAGATTTTTGTATACAATAAGAAAGTACTTACTTATATGTAATTATTTATTATAAATATGTATTTACAAACATTTTGCAATTTTAAAAACTTATCTAATATAAAAAATTATTTATAAAGAAACAATAACTGATAATTATTTATTTTTTTAAGTATGTAGCAGATATCTACCACCTTCTTGAAGAGGATACTTAGAAATGATGAAGTACACTACTTGGAAATGTCTTTGAAAAAAAAATGGCCTTGATGTAAATGGAACCATTGACGAACAAATAACAAATGAAACAAGATATTGTGCCATGGAAATTTTATTTAGTTGAATCCACATTAGAAAAAGGAATTTTTTCAAGACTCCGAAATGGGAATATGCAACTTTCACCTATATATTCTTAACCAGAGGACTGGAAAAATCTCTCTGAGAAACAAGCAACACAACTCTGACACCAAAACAAAACTCTATACTTTCCAATATGGCTAAAGAATTTGAAGATAATGAAGGCAGAATTAAGAGAATAATTTATTTAATGAAGGTCATTAAAGTATTTCCTGTCATTTCCCAGTTGTAATTTTTCATTTAATTTAATTTTTGTATTCATTGTTTTAATTATTCATATCAATTAATTCTTGAAGTCCTTATTGTCAATTATTTGTGTTATTTAATTTTTATAATTATCGCTGTACTTTTATGGATAATTGAAATTAACATAAGAAAGACAGAAATAACATTTATAATGAAGATTATTCAATAGAAATGGCAAATTGAAATGTATTAATTTTTTTTATTCTGTTCATTGTACCAAATATTAGAACCATTTTCTATATATTTTTCTCTCTTATATTAACACTTGAGTGGCTCTGTACAGATATTACAATATTCGATGTATTTTGTTTTAAATAAATGTATTGAAAAAAATATTAATTATTCTATTTTTCTTCTTTAAATCCTGTAAAATTTCCTTAGCCAAATCCCTCTATTCCCTCCTCTCTTTTAATTTTACTCCATAATTTACCCAGTTAATAAGGATACAATCCTTAATTAATTATTTATCTAAATTAATTAAAATAAGTATAACTTACTATGCTATATTTACTAAATTAAAATATACCATTGATATTCCGTAAAAAAGTGAATTCATGAAATTTAGTTTCATAACACAATAGAGATTGTAGCTTCAGATTCTCTCATATAAGATTGGCGAAAATATCACTTTCCTTGAAAACTGTTTTTTTTTTAAGTTGTGTATTATTTGAAATCACCCTTTTTACAGAAAACAAAATGAATATATTATATAGAAAATATTTGTTAATCTAAAAAATGTATTATATAATATAAGAAAAGGGAAAGAAAAGTATTAATAAATAGTGAAAAAAAACAGAACTAAAATAACAATATAATATAAGAAATAGATGATATTATAGGGAAAGAAAAGTGTTATTAATTTAGTTAATGGTGAAAATAACACATATTAAGATTTGTAATTTTTTTCTTATATTTGATCGAAATGAGAAAAAAGAGGAAGCATTTTGAATTTTCCGAACAATTCTAAAATATTTCGATTAATATAAGAAAAGGGAAAGAAAAGTATTAATAAATAGTGAAATAAAAACAAGAACGAACGTAACTCTGAATTATAGTAATTAATTATAGGGAAAGAAAAGTATTATTAATTCAACAAATGGTTAGATTAACACATATTAAGAAGATTTGTCATTATTTTTCCGATATTTGGACGAAATGAGAA